AGGAGCTCGCAAAGAGCGAGCAGCACTGGCACGACTACCACCCCTCCGTCTCCAGTCGATTGAAGGCGTATGTGCAAAACCGTGGTATCATGTACTTTCACCTTGGCACGAAAACAGTAGACACATGCGACGAGACTGCCCGGCACATGCGTCACCCAGAAGGTGACCGCTGTTCTGTTATCAGCACGCCATGGTTTGAGATGGATTAGCCCGGAACGATACAGACCCTCCAGTGCATCACGTCGTCTGCGTAGAGCAGAGATTCCCTTATCTACCACGACAAGCTGGCGACCAGCTACATACTCCGTCGTCAGGGGATGGACAGGCGACGCATGCCAATAGTGCAGCCATCGCGGCAGCATAGCCAGCCAGGCCGTGCGGTCTGTTGCCTGCCATTCCCAATGAGGCATCTCTCCTTGCATTTGCAATTGCTGATAAACCAAGCGAAACTTGTGAAAAGGCGTCTCCGAAAGCCAGGACGGCCGAAGCTGTCCCGTGGAGAGTCGGTGACTCCCCATGGTCCTGAGCATGCGGCGTAAGGGCGTGTCCTCCGTGGACCGGGCAAGGTGACCGAAATAGGTCCAAATACGTGTCAACCAGGCCACCTGCCACTGCGGTCCTCGAAAGCACTGGCAGTACACACTGAGTGCTCTACGACATCCTTGCACGTTTTCCAACCAAGTGCTGAAAGGATCTCTTCCGAAGCGAAAAACCCCCAGAAGCAAGGAATTCTTAAGCCCTTCTATGCTCTTCAGCGCGCGCACCGTAGGCCAAACGACCGAACTGCACCATTGCCATTTCGAGCTGATGTACGAGTCAAAGAGAACACTCTTAACCCTGTGCGGAGTCGAGGGCTTGTCCAAGATCTTCTTCATTGCAAAGAAAGAATTTGTCATCTTTCTGAGCGGGTGCATGAGGACCATGTCGGGGGCATTAGTGTGTGCAAGAGGTACCCCAAGGAACATCAAGCGGTCCTTGCCCTGCAGAGGGGTGCAAGAGCCCCGGAGCCAGACCCCCGGCGTCGATCCTTCAATATTAAGCACGCTGCACTTGGCAGGGTTGACAAAGAGCCCTACCGCCGCCAACGTGTCCGTCAGGTCCCTGAGTTTGACCTGAAGTTCCCTAGCATCCATCGCAAAAAGCATGACATCATCAGCATATAGCAGGAAATGTGGGAGCTCTATTGCATCCGCCCAGCGGGGAAACTCGGTATTCCACCGAGCCTGGAGCCCCCGCAAATGGAAATCTATAGCTCGAGCGAAGAGATCAGCTGAATAGCTGCTGCCTTGCATGATCCCTTGGCGGACCTCGGTACGCCAAGTCTCAGTTCCCAAACTCATTAGCAAACGATTTTGGGAGCACAGACGCCATAGCAGGAGGATCTCGGGACAAACCTCACAGTGCATGAAGAAGTGCACGATCGAAGAATGGGAAAGACTGTCGAAAGCCGCCCTAATATCTAGCTTGGCCACATGTGCTTCCACCTGGTGCTTTCTGCGTAAGACTCCTATTACTGTCTGCGCCGCGAGGATGCCGTCTACCGTCTGAGTTTTTCGTCTGCACCCCATTTGCCCACTTTGGTAGGGCGGGCATTTAGGCGCAACTCTCCCCATCAGTAGCCTGCCAAAGATCTTAGACAAGCACGGAGAGAGACAGATCGGGCGCAGGTCAGCAGGATTGGAGGGTTGGGGCGTTTTGGGCAGGAGCACTACCTTGGCCTCGTACCAGTTCTCGGGAAGAGGCTGTTGCCCAAAGAGCAAACGATTCATGAAGCGGAGAAGCTTGCCCGTTTTGTCGCATCTATGATAGGTCCGGATTGCCTCATAGCACACTCCGTCCAGGCCAGCGCTTGTGCGTGGCTTGCATTTGGCGATGGCCAGGCCTAAGTCATCCTTAGTAAAGGGCTGCGGTCTAACGGAGGAATGTGTAGCAATCATCCGATGGATCGCCTCCTCGGTGGGAGGCGGGAGGAGGGAAGCGTATTTGCGGTCATAGAACTGCCGGAGTTCCAAGCTGGCCGCTTGTTGCCCCCCTCTTTGCTCAATGTAGCTGGTTTCAAACGAAGCATGCGCGGCACTCTTTCGGAGGTACGTGATAGCCTGCCTATCCCCTTCCCTGGCTCGCTGCAGAATGTTCAACTGGTGTTCGTGCCGATCGTTGGTTCGGCGTGCCCGTATTTCGGACAACATGCTCGCTCTCGTGTGAGGGTCCTGGCAGGCACGTCTGGTTGCAATAAGGGCCTTAAGGTCCGAAGAGTCCTGGTATCGAAGGGAAGGAACTCGCTCGGCTTTTAAACACAACTCAGACATGCGAGAGGGACCAAACTCCATGTCCGAGGCCGCATAGCTCTCCAGCTCCGGAATGCTGGGCAGCCACCGGCCACACCTGGTGGTGGGGCGTGTGCCTCTGTGGAGCAGCGGCATCGGGGTGCAAATTCTCAGAAAGACGGGGCAGTGGTCCGAGGGGAGCGCCAGTCGCATGTCATCCCGCTTGTGAGCATACGTGAGACTTCTAGGGACACGAGCCAGGACAGCGTCGATTTCGCTAGCAGCCCCACGGGCCGTCCAAGTGATGCCCACGGAACGATGCAACGAGAGGCTATGTTTCTGAAGCAGAGCCCTCAGAAGCCCCATTCCCGAAAAGGTGTCCGAGCTGGCATGAAGGTCCTGGTTGAAATCACCGCCGACGATGACCATGGCCTCGCCACCTGTATCCTGCAGTTGAGAATCCAGTAGCTCCAAGGTGTCCTTCCAAACCTCCTCTGCAGAAGATCGTGGTTTAGCTTCGGTGCTGACCCGTTTACTGTGGGGCAAATGCAAACATGCCAAATGAATTCGGTGATTCCGACATGCACCATGCAGGACAAGACCAACGGGAAGCCCCGACTTGTGTGTCGCATGGAATTCCAGTTCGGTTTTGACAAGAATAGCCTGGTTGAGGTGTGCTTCGGGCGCGCTGCAGTGATACATCTTGTAGGGTACAGACCCAAAACAAAAATCCGAGACCTGAACCTCAGGAGTGGCCCCAGGACAAGCACCTAATTCCTGCACAAAAAGAAAGTCAGGGCATGGGACAGTCCCCTGCCACAGATCAGCAACCTCACGGAGACTTTTACCATGAAGATTCCAGGTACATGCTACGAATTCGGGTTTGAGGGGTCGCCCTCGTTTCCTGTTCCGGCCACCCTCCTAGGGGGATCCTGACGCCTCAACCTCGAAGTGTGTATGCAAGACCTTGAGATCAATCCCCAAAGTTCGAGCGAGAAGGGGACCCGGGACCCACCATCCCGTTTCGTGGCCCCGTACATCAAGCAACAACAGAGCCCCATCATCCGGACGTTTCTGGTCCACGTGGGCAAGCACACTGACCCCATTAGCCCAGAACCTTCCACGCCAGTCAAACTCAAAGTCCCTGGGGGGCAAATGTTTGGCAACAAGAGCCTTGAGGGACACTATGGCTCGAATACGGGCTCTCTCCTCAGGACTACGGTTTCGCTTTGCCCAAAGTGCCCCCGTCCCTTGCCCTGGAAGGGAGCTTGGCTGAGCAACTGCTCGGAGGGCCTCAACACACATGCCTTGGACCTTACGTCGTTCTGCCATGGCATCCTGCATGTACAGCAAGTCGACCCTACACGTGTTGGAACGCACCGAGCTGCAATGCATGGCCTGCAGGAGAGGGCCACACTCAGCTCTCGTGAACCAGTCTCTCACTTCTTGTTCGATGTCCTCGCGTTTCGCATCCTTCCAACCGCCTAAAACAACCTGCCAATCATCATGCGCGGGATTCCCACGAGCCCCACGAGGTGAATGCGTCGGAGTGTATGCTGAGGTGACACTAGGAGACCTAGAGCGAAAATCCCTCATCTCCTGTTCCATAGCCGCCAAACGGAGCTCAAGAGCCGCAGTTCGTTCTAAGTGCGAATCCTGCCTCGACTCCAAAGACTGCACCTTATCTGCTACTCCCTGAATGGAATCTCTAGTGACCTGGATGGCCTGCATCTGCTCGTGTTGTCCTCGATGAAGCCGGTCGATGCCCGCCTGAAGTGAGGCTGCCCACGGCGGGGGGACATCATCACCAATGTCGTACTCCTGTGGCAGCGGGCGTTTGTTCTTGTCGGGGGGGACAGGCCCCCCCCCAAAAAGGGGAGGGGGTTGCAGCCCCACTGGCGGTCCTTTGGCGGCAGCGGGATCGAGGGGTCGGTCTTTTTTTCTTGTGTTGCGCCACCTAGGGGGCTCGGGGGTGGGTGAAGCACAAGGAGACGGATTAGCTGCTGCTGCTGCTGCTGCTAGGTAGAGTTTAGCCCCAGATAGTCCCCGGATAGGAGGTCATGATCACACCCACCCATAACGCATAGGCGGCGGCGCATAGGCGATCCGCTGCAGACCACATAAGACGTCGGCTGATAAGAAGAAGAAGATTGACTATCTTGGCGCATCCAGTCCCCCCCCCCCCCCCCCCCATTGTTGTTTTACGGTGCATTGCAGCGGAGTTTACGTCCTGATCCGCCCCCCCCGACGACGACGAACGCGAGAGAGGACCAGGTTGAACCGAATGGGGAGCAGACGAAGAGGAGGAGGAGGAGGAGGCTGCCCCAGCTCAAACCCGGCAAACGCGCGCGAGCTCAGGGGCACACACGCAGCTGAGGCGGACAGGCCAAAAACTTGAGCAAAATGGCTTGAGCCAAATGGAGGTGTTCGGTATTAGGGGTTGACGGTCTAGGGGTTAAAGTTTCAGTGCAGAGCTTCGGGTTTTGGGAGAAGCTTTCGGGGTTTGGGATTGAGGCTTGAGGGAATACTTCGCGAGCCGAATGTGACGAATGCCCTCCAGTAAGGTCTGTCGGGCTGGGGCGCAAACGTTTTCTTCGGACTCTTCGCAGCCTAGCAGATGACAGTCTGATGAAGACAGAATAGATCGTACAAGGGTACTACACAAATATTATACTATCCTATAATATGCCATTCTATACTATACTATTCTATACTACTCTATACTACTCTTTTTTATGCTATATAAAATTTGATCTTCTTGGCCTTCACCGGCGGCTCGGCTGCCCGCTTCTCCAGCTTCCGCGGCGGTGGCGAGTCCGGCTTCTTCTGAGCTGCAGCGGCCGCAGGAGCTGCTGACGCCGACCTCTCTGTGAAGTCAGACCAACGAATAGTGCAGTGTGGTATGGCATAATACAGAAAAGTATGGTAATAGTATGGTACAGGCAACTACAGTATTACTGCGCCGGTCCGAAAGTTCGTCGCACTCTATGTTGTCGACGTACAACATACGTGTCCAAGACCCCTTTTCCCCGTAGACTCCTCCAGAAGTCCTCCGCCGGGAACAATGTCCTCTGCCGGGAACAATTATAGTTATAGTACTATAATTCCATTCCCGGATGATAATTCCTCCAGGCTAGGGTATTCCTCACAGCCCGGACTCCACGTACTCCGTTCAGTGCTGCTAACGGATGCGACGAAACTTTAGTACCCACCATTTATTATAGCATAGTATAGTATTAGAATTAGTATAGCAAAGCATAGCACGGCACATTGCGGTACATTATGGAACACGAGTAGTATAGCATAGTCGAAGTCACAGCAACAGTACAGCAAAAAGTTGCTACCATGCGCCAACGGTTGTACTCTGCAGTTTATGGTCTTACGCGAAGAGGAGTAATAACATAAAACAAATTTCCTTACAGTCCCTACTATTGGCCTACTCCCCGCCCCCCCCCTCCCCCCCCACCCCTAAAAAAAAGAAGTGCTGAGTCGAAGACTTACCCAAGGCAAAGTCCTGGACGGGCTCAGCACAAACTACGCAGCATCAACTGGAAGCTTCTAGGACTCTGCGGTTCTGCTATCGCGTGATACTGTTATTTTGTCCTACATCAAACATCATGGACTAGGTTGCTCAACTGTTCATACTCTTGTATACTCTACTCTGCTTGACTGTGCTGTTCTCCGCTGGAGGGCAGCAAAGGTAAGCTCAGGCCTTCCATTTGCGAACGAGCTCAGTGCAGTGCTCCCGCACCTGCATTATGCAGCTGTGCGTTCGATATCTCCACACGAAGACAAGACATGTACTGTACATGTACATATACATACACATACACAAACACATGCAAATACACATACACATACACGCAAAAACACATTGTACACATACACATACATACATGCTTACGTACATATGTACATACATACATACAAACAGACATGCAGACATACAGACTAACAGACAGACCGACAGCCAGGCAGACAGACAGACATAGATATGCACACAGGTGCATGTGTGTATACAAGTATACGTATGCAGATTCATGTCTACATGGATGTACACGTGAAAGAAGATGTATGTACCTGTGAGTGTGTGTGTGTGTGTGCACCTGTGTGTAAGTGAGGATATACATAGACCTAGAAACATATTACCACAGGTGTAGGTGCATATACATAATGTATGTGCATATATGTATGTAATGTGTGTGTGTATATATATATATAATGTATATGCATATATATATATATATATATATATATATATGTATATATATATATATATATATATGCAGCACGTCAATGCTGTTATTACAGCATATCTGGCAAAGCTTGACATCAGGTACAAAACAAAACTACGATTTAACATACCGCGCATCACAATAGAATCACAGCGTTCAGAAAGGCAACCCTCAAAATGCACTGAAGCCTTTCGAAACGAGACTCAAAGCCGTAGGCCTCTTGGTCCGCATGGTTCTTGAAGAAGCGGTCGTTCACCTCCTTCGTGCTTCAATGCCCCGGCTCAACAACAACAGATGTGGGGCTGGATCGTTTGGGTTTCTGTAGAGCTATGTAGGGTCTAAATGTTTCTGAGGGTAGGGTCCTAGGCATGTAAGGGGCCCTGGGTATGTCAGGGTCTCGAAGGTTTCGGGTGCTTCGTGCCTTGCCGATGCCTGTCGTGTGCAGGATCTCCACAGAGATGGGCTTCTTAGAGAGCTCCTCGAAGATCGAGAGAATTCGCTTTGGGTCCTGAAACCACATCTAGGGCTACAATTCCCAAATGTTGGGAGCAACGCCCTACTCTACGGCAAAGCCTTACAGGTGAAGAGGCAGCGTAGGGCACCCCGGCTGTCCTGCTGGCCGGTGGTAGACCGGCACTCTTTGAGCCTGCAGAGCAGCTGAGTACCAGTGGGTTTCAGGGTCCGCAGAGATCCTTCGGCCTCTCTCGACAGTCTTCGATTTCCTGCCACACGTCCGCAGAACCCAAGGCAGGCTACTCTCCCCGAGTCGCAGGAGCGCCTCCTTGCTCACCATCTCGCCTTGAAAGGCACACCCGTGGCCAGGCACAGACTCGCTCCATGCCCCATCTAGTAATCGGCGCTTCAACAAAAGATGACACCGTGCCAGTGTGCTGCGAAATCGGCACATGCCGACAAAACTACTGTTGTGGCTGGAGTGTCAAAGGCAACCTGCTGATCTGCATGATATCTGCAAGACTCCAAGGAAAAAACCTTGAGCCTTTCAAAAGAAAAGACATGACGTAAAGCTGAAATGCGGCCAACTCACCCACGACCTCAAATCCACGAGTGCCACCGCAAACTGTTTGGGAAGCGTTTTTGACTGGAATTTGCGCAAAGCATAGCTGAGTCTTCGCATGCATCCTACTGTCGGTACATCTAGTCTTCAAGCGAAATCACAACAATCGACTAAATGGCGGCGATGGTGGCAACTAGCTCTTGGCAGGCTAGCGGCTAGCATCAAACTGCCAGCATGAGCACAACTGAGCTGACTCATCAGGATGCTTGGGTGAGACAAGCCGCCTCTGCTGCCGTACAAACATGATCTTACCGGAATTCAAAGTCTCTTCCATGAAACGCCCGGAGTAGCGTCAGGTACGTCTTATTGGGCTGCGCTTGTACGCCTCATTGGACAGGGAAGGCGGCGCTCCCAGCTGTGCCTGGCCAAAAAGAAGGCAAAAGGCAGCGGTTTTGGGCGGAGCCCAAGCCAAGCCGGGAGCCTCCAGGTCTGTTCCTTTCCGCACCTGACGAAGAGTGCGCAAGCGTCTGCGGAAGCAAGAGAAGCTCCGCAGCAGAGGGCAACAGCAAGCTTCTGGCACACGCATCTTCTCACGCACGCGCCGCGAAAGTCTCAGCGTGCTCCCGGCAGCTATCTGAACGCCCGTGGTCATGCCTGGCATCAAGATGTATCAAAACCATCTCGTGATGCCTCTTCTCTTTCTGGAGTGCATCCATGTCGTGTCGCAAGGCTGCACTTCCGGCAGCTACCTGAGAAGACAACCACTCCAAACAAAACCCGTTGGAAATCCAAGTTCTGGCCCGAGTTCTGGAAGGCAGCTGCTTTGTCAGTAAGGTGCTTCTTGCCGTGCGGCACTCCGGTAGGCTCCGCGAGCGCCGATTCCCTTAGCTTGAACACCTAGCAAAAACAGATACACCTATAGCACCATATAGTCCATGATAGTATTGTCAACTGTTGTCCTTGTACAAGTAACCGGCAGTAACCCAATAGAAAGCTTTCAGAAATTTCAGCTACCCTAGAGATCCCTAGAGTAACCTTCTACACCAACCAGTTACCGCCCCGTGACAATATAGTAACTTTATACGAACATTGTTGCATGCAGTCTTATAGTAACATTGTGGCCTCCGCACGGCTGCGACTCAGACATTTAGACGACATTCACTGCAGGACCGTTGCTTTAAATGAACTTGATTGGGCTACACCTTTAGTTTTTTATAGGAAGGTTACGACTAGAGACCTATACGGGTACTATCAAGGCTCTTCCAATGACCACTGCCGTGGTCGCTCGTGGCTTCCAAGCCTGAAGTGCGGCTCTGCGGGATCGCCACAGCGTCCAGCAGCAGTTTTGCTGAAGCTGTCTTACACCAGCCGGTTCCATCAGGGCGTGCTGCAAATGGAAGCTGGCGCAGGTCCGTGGAGTCTGCCTGGAGATGCTCCCGAAGAGCCGGTGCAGCTAAAGCGGACCAGCGATGTTTTTGAGGTTCACCATGCCATGCAAGCCGTTGCAGTAAGTGTTGACCTGGATGTTTGCGAGCAAGTGCCACCACCCATCCGGATTTGCGGGGGCCGGAAAGTTGAACAATCTACCCATCTCCTCGTCTGACATTGGCTCATATGCCTTCTTCACCGCCGCAGGATAGCACATCTTACCGACGAAGGTTCTAAACTCATCTCCGAAGTGCTCGGGCAGCGTACGGCCACCAAAGAAGCTGGCCTCCTTCTGCAAGGACCAAAGCCCGGAGTTCCACTTCAAATGAAAGGCCGAGGCCCAGGAACGCAGAGGGTTTAGCAGGGGCAGATGCCCGTGGTACCTGGGAGTTTTCGAAAAATTCGGGCTACGTTATTTTGGGATACTTATTATAAGGATTCTACTATTTGGGGTGCTTTATTTGGGTCCTTATTTTCAGAAACTCCCACCTAAAGGGCATCAACGCAAAAGCCTCCCTTCCCAGCTTCTTCCGCAGGACGTGGTACCAGTTTGTTGCGCTCACAAGACATGGTTGCAGGTCTGGGAGCCTTCCGTAGACCGGTAGCCTACGACCTCCGTAACAGGAGTCGGTGATGTCACAGGGATAGAAAGTCTGATCAATGCCAAAGGCAAAGTGGTGGGAGCTGGGCGCCCGGATGTAGGCCTTGTATGCCACCACTTTCCGCGGGTCTGTTAGTCTGAAGAGCGGTGTCACGCCACAAATAACAGGGAACTGGTTCATGATATTGTCGGTTGCGTAGGTTGGCCGGACCTCCGACAAAACTGCCTTATGTGCCACCCTGTCTATGAGGAAACCGTTCACGACGTTTTTCCCTGCTTGGTTCAGAGCATCGAAATAGGCATGGGCATCGAAGGTGTCGTTTTGGAAAATTCCCCGGTGCGGAGGAAAAACATGGAATTCGTCAACATCTGCCTTTATAATCCAGTCTTCAGCTTGGGTATGCTCGGAAAGCATGAGCCAGCTTAGAAATTCCAGATCCCGGTTGCTTGTATTTCTGCCTGTAAGCACAAGCCGCACATGGTGGATGCCAAAGTCCCTTCTCAGGCTGTCTGCAAAGAGTTTCCCAGCTCGCTTGCCGTAGTACCGATTCACTTGTATCAGCCCCAGAAAATTCGATGCAGGTATGCTCATCCTCAGGTAATGAATAAGAAAGGCGTTGAGCAACTGCTTTTGTGAGCTCCTCTCATCTGCATATAGTGCTGGGCTGAAATACGAGTGAAAGTGGAACCAAAGGCAGTTTCCATCTGCGAGGCGAGCAGACCCACAGCGCGGAGTGGCTCCACCCAACAGGGCCGAAGCCAAAGCAGCAGCCCAGCGCCAAGTCCAGACCCAACCGGACATCCGTGGAGAGGTCAGGCTCTGAGCCAAAAAGGGCTGAGTTCACCTGTTGTCTGATAGTAATCGAACTTTTGAACTTTCCGTCACTCTTGCAACGCAGCCTTGTCTGTTGCCGCACAGGTGTAGCAAACGAAGCACGACCGACTGACCTGCCGCAGTCACAGGTCACGCAAACGACCAGACTTGTCGCTCTTGCCACAGTCTGTCCTCGTGCTTCTTCTGTCAATGGTAATGATAACCAAGAATTAGCTGCACGAAACCAAAACCGAGTTTTAATTCTCTAGGATTATCCTGGCCGCTACAAGTATCTAGTTGGAGATGGCACGCACCATGTTTTCGGCGTGCCGGGTGCTACGACAGGCACGCATGCTTCAACAGCACATTGCAGGCAGACAAGAGGCGCCTTTGGAATTTGTGGCATGTTCTTTGCAGCCATAGCACTGCCTCGGGACATGAGCTTGAGGGGACCCAGGCCCAGGCCCCGCTGAAACTGATGCACGACGAGGCCCGATCTCCAGGGATCGCTTGGCGTCGTTGGCAGTGGATTCGTGTAAGGCTTGGCACGGCCCTTTTGTGGAGACTGCGGTCTTTGTGACCGCTGTGAAGTAGAACCTGCTTCCTTGGCCGAGGAGCGCCAGGGCTTTGCAGGGCTGTGCACAGTGCAACTGCAAAAGCGCGGGCGACTGAGGCTGCGGCATCGCAACATAAGACGCCACCCATGACAACGCAAGAGCAAGGGATAGTCTCCCGACATACTTCTTTCTCTGAAACGGCCACAGGCAGGTGACTCTGAATTTCAATAGAAATGCATGACCATGTTCTTATAGGCTGGCGTGACTGGAAGCTCAGGTGGCTGCACTTTTTGAGGATCCGGAAAGCTCGTCGCTGCCATTGATGCTTCTCCCGAATGTTCCTCACACAGACAAACTCATTAAATCTAACAGTGAATGCTTGGAAACGCCGACTATGGCTTCAATTGCCCGGGGCATCGACATACGCCGAAGATCTCGGGGTACCAACGCGGATTTCGAAAAAAGTCTTCACATTACAGAATGTAGCCTCAAAGGTGCAAAGCCTTGGTGCATCTCGCGGGCAGGATGCAAACTGCTGTTGAAAGGCCCCAACTGCGCCTTTTTAGCTGCCCCGCCACAGCACCGTCCCACGCGACTCACCAACGGCATGCTTTCTAGCCTCTGCCCCTTAGCCTCGAAGTGAGGTCCACGCCCTTCCCTCAAAGTGAGGGAAGGAAATGAAGGAAGCTACTGTCCTGTGACAACTTGGAGAGCTGGCGATTTGACTCCAGAGAAGAAGAAGATGCTGAGGAGGCATGATGACCGATCAATCTCGACAACCGAAACATCCCAGCTTCGCTGGCTCGGCTTGGATACGCCACAGCTGCGGCTGCGATCCTGCAAAGAGCAATGTCCGCATGCAGCCTTCGTCAAAAGTGACGCCTGCCGGAATCGGCACGTGCCCTTCCGGCTCGGATTTCACGAACGTCAAGGAGAAGTTGCTCCAGTTGCATTCGCTGGCCATGGCCTGGATCCAACAGTCCAGGCTCTCCCAGCTCAAAGATCGCACGCTGAAGGAGCTTCGGAAGGTTCCAATTTCCCGGAAGTGGAGATGCACCGTGAGTGCTCCAAGCGATTCGCTTCCTGCAGGCTCACTTGCTGCGCTGCTGATGTGCGGCTCCATCGGGGGCGGCAGGCTTGAAGGGAGGAGGCAAGGCACATGGCTGTTTGTAACCTCCTCGTGCGAGTCAGGTCGCACAGGAAAGGGCAACGTTGGGCTGGATGGGAAGCCCTGCAAGGTGGTTCCCTGAAACCTTGGACTCGCTGCATGGCACAACTCCTGCGTGACATCTCGCATCGACGCGATAGGCTGAAGTCCCTGGGGGCCCCGTGCATCTGGGAAAACCCACACAGGCATACGCACGTCAAAGGATTGTTCCAACCCAAGCGCACGGCGCCGCCGCGAGCTGAATCTCTCATGCAGCGGCAGCGGCATGATGTCTGAGTCTGAAAGGTTGCACGCTTTGTCCTTGACTTCTTGACGTCCACTCCGCCTGCGCGCCACGGCTCGGCTGCGGCCGGGCACAGCGAACTCTTCTTCTCCATGGGAACCTGGAAGACTCACTCCGAAATCTCTGGCGCCCCTGCCCCCGTGCGGAGATAAGCTTGGCATCTGTGCCCCCATGCCACAACGTCAACGCAACGGACACCTTTCCCTCTGCGACCTGCAGCAGCTCATGCAGGTTGTGGTGCGAATACGTTCTGCCTTCGTGTATGAAGACTCCAGTGCCTGAACACCAGGTGTCTAGTAGGAACGTCAGTCGTTCCTCGATAGGCGTGAGCAGCATCCTGCAGCTCAGCGGTATCTCAAGCCTGTGCTCCTCAACCAAGACCAAGAACTCAACAGTCTCGACCTCAGCCAAAAGCCAACCTAGAATGGGCCGATCCAGGCCACGAAGAGCCCTGAGCAAGGAGCCATACTTCTGGAGATCCGTCCGGTCCGTCGCCATCATCGACGCCACGAGCCGCATGCAGGAAGACTCGGGCAGCTTGTCAAAGCCGGGAAGAAAGACCTCCCTCCAAATCACCTGCTCGATCAACGGGGCACTGCAGAGTTTAACCAGGAGCCATCGCAATACCTCGGCACGCTCCTTCTCGAGCTCTTCGCCACAAAGCTCGATTGCGCTAATACCAAGCGCCCACGTGTCAAACTCGAAGTCAAGCAAGACTGGCCTGTGGAACGAATGCTGGAACATCGGATATTGATACTCTGGCGTACCTCCTTTGTCAGACCAAGCTCCAAACTTGCCTGCCATGCCGAAGTCGGTGAGCTGCACGCTGCACGCTTCTGGCGACCAGCGCCTTGCTGGCAACCACCACTGTTGGGAAGTGCGGTCCGGGAACACGATCATGTTACCAGGCTTGACGTCAGCATGGACAACTTTTCTTTGCTTCAAGTAGGCCAGGGCGGGCACGAGCAGCTCAAGGATCCGCAGGCCCAGTTTTGCTGATGTGGAAGCTTCGGCTGTACCAAGCGTCTCTGCCAGACGGTCCGCAAAGGCAGATGCAGACACGCCTTCCTCCATGAAATACCCAGGGCGCGGGTCTCCTGATCCAGTCGCCAAGGTCAGAGGCACAACGCTCATGATGTTTGGATGCTGGAGGCTGCAAAGCAGGGTCACATCATCTACCATTCGGCGCATGGCTTTCTCCTCCGCCTTTCCTGACCCATGCTTCCTCTGTACTTTCACGACACCACGGCGGCCGTAGAAATAGCCCTCGAGGCGGCGGACTCTGCTGTCCAGGCCTTCTCCCACCACCGGCCCGAGGCGCACGAGAACTGCGGGCACAGTCTTTGAGGCATGCTCATCACGCGCACCCAAGAAGGCACGGCACAGCATCGGCATGGCTTCCAGCTCGGGCTTCTAGCAGATCCTATTGCGATCCTAGCCTGCGGCAAAGAATGAAAGGCAAGAAACGCCCTCACGGCCCACCATGTTGAATGTGTTTCATCTGTTTCATGTTCACTTCCGACATTGTGAAGCGAGAGGCAACGCCGCGCCATAGACATCTGCAACATGAAGGAACGCAAGCGAAGCAGTGTCTGAGGGGAGGGCGTACCCATGAAGCTTTGAAGAAGCCTCCTTGCAGATGGCCCTGCCTGCGCCGATGCAAGGGATGGGAGAATCGATTCTCTCCTCTTCCGAGGATGCCCCGAACAGCATCATGAGCACCCTGCTTCTAAACCGCGACACGGTGGGAGCTGGCCCCTTGACGAGCTTCTACCGCAAGAAGACACAGCTGTAGCTTGATGAAGCGACTCGAAGCAAAAAGAAAACTTGCATGAAATGCTACAGGCCTTGATTACCAGCTCCTCGGCACATTACCGAATGTCAGGAGTGGTCAGCAGTCGTTGCAGCTGTCTTCGAATTTGCGGTCTGGAGCCTTGACAGCAGTGACGTGCTCCCTGCCGTCTGCAAAGAGGCTGGCTGCGCACTGCCTCTGCAAAGCTGGCGCTGCTCACGCAGAGACAAGTTAAAGAAAGCGAATTTAGCGGCACCCCGAAGCAGTGCACCCACATGTCAAAAGATGGATCACTGCAAGCATGATCGGATCCGCACTGGAGCGATTTTTGCAGCAAGCCGCAAGTGCTGCAAAAACGCCTCCACAATTTGAGCCATCAAGGGTCGACATCCGCATCCTGCTTCGAGGCGGCCAGCTGTAGATATGCGTGAGTCCGTGCCCCAGATAATCCCAGTTCAACAATTCAAGCAACAGGCCTTGTGGCTCATCACGAATCTGCCAAAGCTGTGGCTCTGTACGTCCGCAGTCTCCAGCTCTGGTAAAGGAAGAAGCTCATCTATCCACCAGGGCGATGTCCTGCACTGCAAATCCTTAGAAAGCTGGATGCATTCAAGCAGTCTCAGTGAAATGACACCCAACAGGCTCCACCGAGAAGCTTCCCAATGAAAACGCAACCACGAGTCCAGTGTGTGTGTAGACGCAACTGCGAGATCCGCAGGCCGCATGCAACTCTGCAAGCCGCCTGCTTTCGAGGGAGTCCGTTTCAGGGCCCCCTCAAGCTCAGAGTTCGGAGGCGAAAGGGACAAAGCCGACGGCCGAGGCGCCCGCACCTGCTCATCGCGCATTGTTCGGCTTGCCTACCTGGCAAGGAATGTGCAGATCGCCGTCCTTGATTTGCATGGCCACGTGCGGGCGGGAAAGGGCGGACGACTGAGGCAGCCGTGTTTTTCTCCGCAGACTGCCCTCAAAGCGAGGTCCAGTGGAAAAAGACTCTGGGGCCCTTCGAAGAAGGGGCCGCTCGGGATCGCAGGCTGCTGCGAGGTCCAGTGGAAAAAGACTCTGGGGCCCTTCGAAGAAGGGGCCGCTCGGGATCGCAGGCTGCTGCTGGCCCTGTCGGTAAACGGCCACTTACGAGGTCTGCAGACGTAGCTGACACGCTGTGCCCTGTGGCTGGCTTTCTGGAGGGGCGGATAGGGTGCGGTGCCTGCGACAGCCCGGCGAAAATGGGATGCCCGGATGGCCTACGCATGCCCCTGCTCATGGCCTCTGCTGTGGCGAGCTCAGCTCGGCCAGGATGTCTGCAAAGATCGGCTGGACCTCCATGTCCGGAATGGCATTGCATAGCTCCTCATGAGTAGGGGTGAGAAACCACAGAAGGCCGTAACCACAGATCTATAAGTCTATAAGGACATGTTAGGACCCCTTAGCTCCTGGAGCGAGATTGCCAGAGCACCGAAGGCCTTCTGCAAGCGCAGCAGCCAACCTGACAGCTTGATTCCGACGGTCTGGTCGAAGTTCTCCTTCAGGTTCAAGCCGTTGCATGCCTCTTGGAGGTCGAAGGACTTGGCCACGCACTGCCATGGGAGCATGCCGGACAGCTCGGCGCCCGAACGCTGCTCAGCACCCAAGTCTTGGAGATTGCTCTTCAGCAATTGGAGCTGGGACTCGTCCATTCCGGGCGTACCCGTGAACTGCAACAAGGACCGCAAACGCTCCTTCTTGGCGTCCGGAACCTCGATGTGGCAGCCCAAGTCGATCATGGTGATGTCGCAGCACTCGGTGATCATCACGTTGCCGGGATGGGGATCGCCGTGCGCCTCGCCCTCTTTCGTCAGGTCGATGAAGAAACTACGCACCAACACGCGGAAGATCCGGGGAGTCTCGGCCTTGACCTGATCTTCGCGGGCGCTTTTAAGCCACTTGCCGAGGGTCTCGCCCTGGACAAACTCCTCCAGAAGGACGTGCGGCGAGGAGCGAATCACCCGGGGCACCCGGAGCCTGGCAACAAGAGCCACACAGCCGTCGGGGGATGAAAGATCAAGCTGCAATCTCTGCAAGTCGGAAACTGCAGCGAGGGCGCTCGTCGCCGCGGCGCCGATATGTCGCCCGGAAGCGCTCCATGGTCTTGGCTTCCGATTTCATATCGAACTCTCCGAGGACGAACTCCTTAAACTCCTCCGACCTTAGCGACTCAAGGACTTTCTCAAGGATCTCTCCCTGGCCGATCAGGATCATGATCTTCTTGAAGAAGCCCAGGACACTTCCTTCGTCCCCAAGCATCTGCAGGTCGGCCAAGTACAGCCTCAGGTTCTCCACATTCACGGTCTTCACCAGAAAGACTTTCTCGCCAACTCGCACCTTCAGTGCAAGACTAAGCAAACACTGACTGGCAAAAGCCAGATGCTCAGGCACGCCCTCCGCAAAACTGTCTGCCGGTGCCGACGCGCCTTGCTTGCCTCGGCAGTCGTGCCGGCCTTCAGCACTCCCTCGATGATGGCGTCCCCGAAGCCTTCGGCACGGAGCTGGGCTTGGATGTTCTCCAAGGGTCGAGCCTGCACTGTCCGCCGCAGCTTCGTGCAACAACAAGACTCGCAAAGCATCGACAGAGTTCAGACGGCAGAAGCAACAGGCCTTGCATTCATCTTGGCACTTCTTGCTCTCCTCGAGGATGATCGGGCATGTCATGATCTCAGGTCGCGCTGTCTGCTGCACCAGCTTCACACAGAGACCTCGCGAAGGCAGCAGCGTCTCTTTCAGAGCACTTGCCCGACCCTGTAGGCACATTCCGGCCTCCAAGCTTCGTCGCGACTGTGCGAATCTTCTCTGCCAGAGTCTTGCGATCCCCATTCATGACGCTCACCACCTCCCTTGCAGCATTCAGGACCTGCGTTTCCCTCTCGCTGCTGGCAACGAGATACCCGACCAACGCAAGACCAGCGTCAGCCAGAGGGGAGGACATTATTGTCGCTGTCGGAATCTATCGCAGCTGGTGGATGCTTCTGGGCCCAAATACTCGAGGTCAAGAACAGGATTCCTAGAATGTGGCTTTCCAAGTGGTGCAAGTGCCAGCAGCCGCGGCCTTCACGGCCAGGCTGCTCGCCAAAACATCACAGCCTGCCTTGCCGAGCCGCTCAAGGGCACAATTGCTCAAAAATGTCAAGAAGATGCCTCGGCGCCTCGCAGAACAAGATGTACCTGTAGCAAGCAGAAGCTGGCCCAGTGAACTTGGGCAATGCTTTCAAGACACTTTGCAGTGACGCCGCGAACCTCTGCAAAAAGACGTCCGCTGGAGCATGGGGCAGCACGGCGCATGGAGACACGACGCGCAGCCTGCATCAGCCTGCACCTTGAGGTGCTGGACACGTCGATCGTGACACCAAGGATGCTAGCCCATGCTAGCTGCTAGCCTTAGGGAGTCAAGCAGGAAGTGCCTTCACCCCGAAGGCGAACAACACGACATCGCCAGCCTCCTGTCAGGCTGGACACAAGCGGCAGCAAGCGTCGCAAGCTCCAAGGCCAAGACCAAGCCGACCGTTGTGGGACTCTGCTTGGAATCCTTGAGGAGCCGAGTCTCGCACAAGGACAAGCTCTGCAAACGTGCTTCTCACAACACATCGTGACCGAGCTGCCTCGAAGCGAGCGCTGTCACGCAGGCGGCCCGAGAATTCTCAGGGGTGCCTACGACATCCTGCCACAGCCGTCGTCGTCGTCAGCTCCTTCTTCGCAGTCCCAACGAGCTGCGGGCGTTGCATGTCCGCCCGGGCTCTTCGATGCAACAGTCTCAGAAGCCGGCTTGGACCTGAAACCCAGCAATGCCGAGAAGCACACCGACGTGGTGAATAACAAGTCTTCCTCTTAATGTGAACTGTGTGTGTGTGTGTGTGCGCGCGAAATGAAGCACCTGCCACAGGAACGTGCAATGACATGCACTACCGAATGCGAGCTCTCACGAAGTCGACGGCCTCTGCCGAAATGGGATGCCCGAAGTCTGGGCTCAGGATGGCTATATGCAGAAGTTGTGGCCGTCCTCCGTCTCATTCCGTCTCGAGTTTTAGCACATCTCACGAGGGCATGGCAATGCTCGTGGAGCAGGCGCAACAACATCCCTCAAACTGCAAGCTGCCGCAAGCTAGCTTGAAACCCAACATCTAGCAAGACGCACACAGACCGACAGACGCTAATCCCCACGTCTTATTCCCAATGAGACCGCAATAGCGAGGCCGGTGTGTCTGGATGCAGCTGCAGTTCAGAAGCGAAAGGGACAAAGCTGACGGCCGCGGCGCCCGCACCTGCTCATCGCGCATTGTTCGGCTTGCCTACCTGGCAAGGAATGTGCAGATCGCCATCCTTGATTTGCATGGCCACGTGCGGGCGGGAAAGGGCGGACGACTGAGGCAGCCGTGTTTTTCTCCGCAGACTGCCCTCAAAGCGAGGTCCAGTGGAAAAAGACTCTGGGGCCCTTCGAAGAAGGGGCCGCTCGGGATCGCAGGCTGCTGCGAGGTCCAGTGGAAAAAGACTCTGGGGCCCTTCGAAGAAGGGGCCGCTCGGGATCGCAGGCTGCTGCTGGCCCTGTCGGTAAACGGCCACTTACGAGGTCTGCAGACGTAGCTGACACGCTGTGCCCTGTGGCTGGCTTTCTGGAGGGGCGGATAGGGTGCGGTGCCTGCGACAGCCCGGCGAAAATGGGATGCCCGGGATTTCGGGCTCTGGATGGCCCACGGTCACCCCTATACTGATTTGTTTGATTCAGACGACCTCAAAGTCGAGGTCATGTCGATCGTTTCAATAGCCTCGAAGCGAGGTTCTCTGAGCTGCGACAGGCACCTTTCACAGGGAGAAGCTGACACCATGGGATCGCGAATTACGTTTACAATGATACAGCATTTAGAACGTAGAACGCCTAGAGCCAATGACGACGCATACTACGTGCCCCGAGCCTCTGCAAGCAGCTGAACGATTGCATCCGTAACAGCCGTAACACATGCAGCAGCAAGCTCAGAGGTCCTGAAAGCTGCCGGTTGTTCAGGCGTACGGTGGCAAGACCGGCTTGCCCACAAGCAACCTTTCAAGCCAGGAATGCGGACCAAAAAGCCGTTGTGCCATGTTGTCAAGCTGCCCCGCAAGGCTTGTTCTTTTGGCCAGATGCCGGCCGTAGCCCATGTGGCTAGCAGGGTCCGGGGTGCCACTCGGAATTGGGACCGTGCGGTGCAACCACCAGCTGTCCACGACGAGTACATCACCGGGCTGCAGCACCACCTCGATGATGCAGCTCGTCTTGGGGCCTGGGTTGAGCACGCAGCCGGAGCCCTTCCGCACAAACGCCAAGCTTGGGGCACACCGAGGCCCCGGCACTTCTGCGAGACGAAGGAGAGGCCGCTCCAAGCCACTTGCGCCCGTCCCATGAAGAAGGGTGGCAGTAGCTGAAACAGCTTCGTGCCCGCAAGGTTAAAGAACATGAAGAAGTCGAAGTGGCTGTGGAAGTCTTCCACGGGAGTAGTGTTCCCGACGCTCAAAGCCAGAACTGCTGGGCTGGCGCTTATCTCATCGAGCTTCAGCAGCTCGGGCGCTGCTCCGAGGCTCCTCGACAAGTTGGCCTCCTCGATGCCTGCATCCCCACGGAGGTTTTGGGTAAAAACTAGCCACCCCTTGTCACGGTTCAGAGTCTTGATCGACTCGTTGAGAGTCACGTCCAGGCACGGCGGCATCTCACCCAGCACCGGCTTGGCCTCCATCTCACAGGGCAGAAAGCGATCCTGGCGCTTGTTCCCGAACAGCTGGAGGACCTTGAACTTCGCACCCTCCTTCGAGACACAATTCCTGCGAAATTGCTGCGCGATTGAACTCAGGAAACGAGCTGTCTGCTTGAAGTACGCCTAAGACGGCCTACCTTAGTGGCTACCATTCCAAGAAGTGTTACAACACGACGACATGATGGTGATAGCCACTGATATAACCGCCCGAGCAGCACCCGTGAACTGCCTCACCAAAAAACCCTGGTCCTGCACACCGTGGGCCAGGACGGAACCGTACCGTTGGCATAGGCCGAGGGAGAGACTTCCTCAACCGTGGTCCGGCAAGTTTCTTCGTGCTTCTCAACCAGAGGTTCATACTCGTCCTCCAAAAACTGGTGAAGGCTGGGGAACACAGCCGCTGGCAAATGTAGCCAGCCCCAATTCTCACTGGCAATTCCCTGGCTTTTCATGAGCACGGCCGCCATGGCCGCGACAACGGCTGCTGCACACCCCAAAGGCATTGCGCAAAAGGCAGCAAGCCAGGCCAGCAACAATGTGACGGGGCAACACCGTTGAGCCAAACTGCACACTTGCGAGGCTATGTCTATGTGAACCTACCAGCTCCTCGGCACATTACCGAATGTCAGGAGTGGTCAGCAGTCGTTGCTGCTGTCTTCGAATTTGCGGTCTGGAGCCTTGACAGCAGTGACGTGCTCCGTGCCGTCTGCAAAGAGGCTGGCTGCGCACTGCCTCTGCAAAGCTGGCGCTGCTCACGCAGAGACAAGTTAAAGAAAGCGAATTTAGCGGCACCCCGAAGCAGTGCACCCACATGTCAAAAGATGGATCACTGCAAGCATGATCGGATCCGCACTGGAGCGATTTTTGCAGCAAGCCGCAAGTGCTGCACTGACGCCTCCACAATTTGAGCCATCAAGTGGTCGACATCCGCATCCTGCTTCGAGGTGGCCAGCTGTAGATATGCGTGAGTCCGTGCCCCAGATAATCCCAGTTCAACAATTCAAGCAACAGGCCTTGTGCCTCATCACGAATCTGCCAAAGCTGTGGCTCTGTACGTCCGCAGTCTCCAGCTCTGGTAAAGGAAGAAGCTCATCTATCCACCAGGGCGATGCCCTGCACTGCGAATCCTTAGAAAGCTGGATGCGTTCAGCAGTCTCAGTGAAATGAAACCCAACAGGCTCCACCGAGAAGCTTCCCAATGAAAACGCAACCACGAGTCCAGTGTGTGTGTAGACGCAACTGCGAGATCCGCAGGCCGCATGCAACTCTGCAAGCCGCCTGCTTTCGAGGGAGTCCGTTTCAGGGCACCCTCAAGCTCAGAGTTCGGAGGCGAAAGGGACAAAGCCGACGGCCGAGGCGCCCGCACCTGCTCATCGCGCATTGTTCGGCTTGCCTACCTGGCAAGGAATGTGCAGATCGCCGTCCTTGATTTGCATGGCCACGTGCGGGCGGGAAAGGGCGGACGACTGAGGCAGCCGTGTTTTTCTCCGCAGACTGCCCTCAAAGCGAGGTCCAGTGGAAAAAGACTCTGGGGCCCTTCGAAGAAGGGGCCGCTCGGGATCGCAGGCTGCTGCGAGGTCCAGTGGAAAAAGACTCTGGGGCCCTTCGAAGAAGGGGCCGCTCGGGATCGCAGGCTGCTGCTGGCCCTGTCGGTAAACGGCCACTTACGAGGTCTGCAGACGTAGCTGACACGCTGTGCCCTGTGGCTGGCTTTCTGGAGGGGCGGATAGGGTGCGGTGCCTGCGACAGCCCGGCGAAAATGGGATGCCCGGATGGCCTGCGCATGCCCCTGCTCATGGCCTCTGCTGTGGCGAGCTCAGCTCGGCCAGGATGTCTGCAAAGATCGGCTGGACCTCCATGTCCGGATTGGCATTGCATAGCTCCTCATGAGTAGGGGTGAGAAACCACAGAAGGCCGTAACCACAGATCTATAAGTCTATAAGGACATGTTAGGACCCCTTAGCTCCTGGAGCGAGATTGCCAGAGCACCGAAGGCCTTCTGCAAGCGCAGCAGCCAACCTGACAGCTTGATTCCGACGGTCTGGTCGAAGTTCTCCTTCAGGTTCAAGCCGTTGCATGCCTCTTGGAGGTCGAAGGACTTGGCCACGCACTGCCATGGGAGCATGCCGGACAGCTCGGCGCCCGAACGCTGCTCAGCACCCAAGTCTTGGAGATTGCTCTTCAGCAATTGGAGCTGGGACTCGTCCATTCCGGGCGTACCCGTGAACTGCAACAAGGACCGCAAACGCTCCTTCTTGGCGTCCGGAACCTCGATGTGGCAGCCCAAGTCGATCATGGTGATGTCGCAGCACTCGGTGATCATCACGTTGCCGGGATGGGGATCGCCGTGCGCCTCGCCCTCTTTCGTCAGGTCGATGAAGAAACTACGCACCAACACGCGGAAGATCCGGGGAGTCTCGGCCTTGACCTGATCTTCGCGGGCGCTTTTAAGCCACTTGCCGAGGGTCTCGCCCTGGACAAACTCCTCCAGAAGGACGTGCGGCGAGGAGCGAATCACCCCGGGCACCCGGAGCCTGGCAACAAGAGCCACACAGCCGTCGGGGGATGAAAGATCAAGCTGCAATCTCTGCAAGTCGGAAACTGCAGCGAGGGCGCTCGTCGCCGCGGCGCCGATATGTCGCCCGGAAGCGCTCCATGGTCTTGGCTTCCGATATCATATCGAACTCTCCGAGGACGAACTCCTTAAACTCCTCCGACCTTAGCGACTCAAGGACTTTCTCAAGGATCTCTCCCTGGCCGATCAGGATCATGATCTTCTTGAAGAAGCCCAGGACACTTCCTTCGTCCCCAAGCATCTGCAGGTCGGCCAAGTACAGCCTCAGGTTCTCCACATTCACGGTCTTCACCAGAAAGACTTTCTCGCCAACTCGCACCTTCAGTACAAGACTAAGAAAACACTGACTGGCAAAAGCCAGAAGCTCAGGCATGCCCTCCGCAAAACTGTCTGCCGGTGCCGACGCGCCTTGCTTGCCTCGGCAGTCGTGCCGGCCTTCAGCACTTCCTCGATGATGGCGTCCCCGAAGCCTTCGGCACGGAGCTGGGCTTGGATGTTCTCCAAGGGTCGAGCCTGCACTGCCCGCCGCAAGGCTTTGCACAGCTTCGTGCAACATCAACGCTCGCAAAACATCGACAGAATCTAGACTGCAGAAGCAACAGGCCTTGCATTCATCTTGGCACTTCTTGCTCTCCTCGAGGATGATCGGGCATGTCATGATCTCAGGTCGCGCTGTCTGCTGCACCAGCTTCACACAGAGACCTCGCGAAGGCAGCAGCGTCTCTTTCAGAGCACTTGCCCGACCCTGTAGGCACATTCCGGCCTCCAAGCTTCGTCGCGACTGTGCGAATCTTCTCTGCCAGAGTCTTGCGATCCCCATTCATGACGCTCACCACCTCCCTTGCAGCATTCAGGACCTGCGTTTCCCTCTCGCTGCTGGCAACGAGATACCCGACCAACGCAAGACCAGCGTCAGCCAGAGTGGAGGACATTATTGTCGCTGTCGGAATCTATCGCAGCTGGTGGATGCTTCTGGGCCCAAATACTCGAGGTCAAGAAGAGGATTCCTAGACTGTGGCTTTCCAAGTGGCGCAAGTGCCAGCAGCCGCGGCCTTCACGGCCAGGCTGCTCGCCAAAACATCACAGCCTGCCTTGCCGAGCCGCTCAAGGGCACAATTGCTCAAAAATGTCAAGAAGATGCCTCGGCGCCTCGCAGAACAAGATGTACCTGTAGCAAGCAGAAGCTGGCCCAGTGAACTTGGGCAATGCTTTCAAGACACTTTGCAGTGACGCCGCGAACCTCTGCAAAAAGACGTCCCCTGGAGCATGGGGCAGCACGGCGCATGGAGACACGACGCGCAGCCTGCATCAGCCTGCACCTTGAGGTGCTGGACACGTCGATCGTGACACCAAGGATGCTAGCCCATGCTAGCTGCTAGCCTTAGGGAGTCGCCCGCAAAGCAGGAAGTGCCTTCACCCCGAAGGCGAACAACACGACATCGCCAGCCTCCTGTCAGGCTGGACACAAGCGGCAGCAAGCGTCGCAAGCTCCAAGGCCAAGACCAAGCCGACCGTTGTGGGACTCTGCTTGGAATCCTTGAGGAGCCGAGTCTCGCACAAGGACAAGCTCTGCAAACGTGCTTCTCACAACACATCGTGACCGAGCTGCCTCGAAGCGAGCGCTGTCACGCAGGCGGCCCGAGAATTCTCAGGGGTGCCTACGACATCCTGCCACAGCCGTCGTCGTCGTCAGCTCCTTCTTCGCAGTCCCAACGAGCTGCGGGCGTTGCATGTCCGCCCGGGCTCTTCGATGCAACAGTCTCAGAAGCCGGCTTGGACCTGAAACCCAGCAATGCCGAGAAGCACACCGACGTGGTGAATAACAAGTCTTCCTCTTAATGTGAACTGTGTGTGTGTGCGCGCGAAATGAAGCACCTGCCACAGGAACGTGCAATGACATGCACTACCGAATGCGAGCTCTCACGAAGTCGACGGCCTCTGCCGAAATGGGATGCCCGAAGTCTGGGCTCAGGATGGCTATATGCAGAAGTTGTGGCCGTCCTCCGTCTCATTCCGTCTCGAGTTTTAGCACATCTCACGAGGGCATGGCAATGCTCGTGGAGCAGGCGCAACAACATCCCTCAAACTGCAAGCTGCCGCAAGCTAGCTTGAAACCCAACATCTAGCAAGACGCACACAGACCGACAGACGCTAATCCCCACGTCTTATTCCCAATGAGACCGCAACCGCGAGGCCGGTGTGTCTGGATGCAGCTGCAGTTCAGAAGCGAAAGGGACAAAGCTGACGGCCGCGGCGCCCGCACCTGCTCATCGCGCATTGTTCGGCTTGCCTACCTGGCAAGGAATGTGCAGATCGCCGTCCTTGATTTGCATGGCCACGTGCGGGCGGGAAAGGGCGGACGACTGAGGCAGCCGTGTTTTTCTCCGCAGACTGCCCTCAAAGCGAGGTCCAGTGGAAAAAGACTCTGGGGCCCTTCGAAGAAGGGGCCGCTCGGGATCGCAGGCTGCACTGCAAGCTCACGCTCTCGAGTCCACTCCACGTGGAAGGAAGATGCTGGCGACTTGGCACTACTGTGCGAAGGCCCTAGAAAAGATCATGGCCGACAACCTCGACAACCGAAACATCCCAGCTTCGCTGGCTCGGCTTTGATATGCCACAGCTGCGATCCTGCAAAGAGCAATGTCCGCATGCAGCCTTCGTCAAAAGTGACGCCTGCCGGAATCGGCACGTGCCCTTCCGGCTCGGATTTCACGAACGTCAAGGAGAAGTTGCTCCAGTTGCATTCGCTGGCCATGGCCTGGATCCAACAGTCCAGGCTCTCCCAGCTCAAAGATCGCACGCTGAAGGAGCTTCTGAAGGTTCCAATGTCCCGGAAGTGGAGATGCACCGTGAGTGCTCCAAGCGATTCGCTTCCTGCAGGCTCACTTGCTGCGTAGCTGAAAGAAGAAGCTTCTCCTTGGCAATTCTGCGGAGTGGTGCAGGGCACCCGCACGGCCGCATGTGGCTGAGCCAGCGGAATGTCTGCTGCAACGCCACGTACGGCATTCTCACGTAGCAGTGATTGCATGCAAAGCCACCAAGGCTGCATGGCTGTAGCCATGTGCGGCTCCATCGGGGGCAGCAGGCTTGAAGGGAGGAGGCAAGGCATATGGCTGTTTGTAACCGCCTCGTGCGAGTCAGGTTGCACAGGAATGTACGGGCTTGGGGTGGATGGGAAGCCCTGCAAGGTGGTTCCCTGAAACCTTGGACTCGCTGCATGGCACAACTCCTGCGTGACATCTCGCGTCGACCCGATAGGCTGAAGTTGTGGACTCAGGGGTGGCTGCACATCGCCTGCCTGCTCCTCCAGTCCCCAAACTCTCTGGGGGCCCCATGCATCTGGGAACACCCACACAGGCATACGCATGTCAAAGGATTGTTGCCGCAACGTCAACGCAACGGACACCTTTCCCTCTGCGACCTGCAGCAGCTCATGCAGGTTGTGGTGCGAATACGTTCTGCCTTCGTGTATGAAGACTCCAGTGCCTGAACACCAGGTGTCTCGTAGGAACGTCAATCGTTTCTTGATGCTCCAGAGCTGCATCTCGCAGACCAGCGGTATCTCAAGCCTGTGCTCCTCAACCCAGACCAAGAACTCAACAGTCTCGTCCTCAGAATGCACATCGAGCCCACGGAGGTATGGATGGCCCCAAACAGCCATATCGTGCAGGTCGCAATACTCATCAAAGTACTCGCAACCCGTCATCTGCGATGCCATGAGCCGCATGAAGGAAGACTCGGGCAGCTTGTCAAGGCCTGGAAGAAAGACATCCCTCCAAATCACCTGCTCGATCCACGGGGCACTGCAGAGTTTACCATCGCAATACCTCGACACGCTTCTTCTCCAGCTCTTCGCCACAAAGCTCGATTGCGCTAATACCAAGCGCCCACGTGTCAAACTCGAAGCGAAGCCAGAGGTCAAGGTGGTAGACAGGCTGTCCCGGGGCAAAGGAATTGCATGCTGCATCCCAAGCGTGGATCAACTCATGTTGATACTCTGGTGTACCTCCTTTGTCAAACTTAGATCCGCTTTTGCCTGCCATGCCGAAGTCGGTGAGCTGCACGTTGCACGCTTCTGGCTTCCACCGCCCTGCAGGCAACCACCACTGTTGGGAAGTGCGGTCGGGGAACACGATCATGTTACCAGGCTTGACGTCAGCATGGACAACTGCTCTTTGCTGTAAGTAGGCCAGTGCGGGGACGAGCAGCTCAAGGATCCGCAGGCCCAGTTTGGCTGATGTGGAAGCTTTGGCTGCACCAAGCGTCTCCGCCAGACGGTCCGCAAAGGCAGATGCAGACACGCCTTCCTCCATGAAATACCCAGGGCGCGGGTCTCCTGATCCAGTCGCCAAGGTGAGAGGCACGACGCTCATGATGTTTGGATGCTGAAGGCTGCAAAGCAGGGTCACATCATCTACCATTCGGCGCATGGCTTCCTCCTCCGCCTTTCCTGACCAATGCTTCTTCTGCACTTTCACGACACCACGGCGGCCGTAGAAATAGCCCTCGAGGCTGTACACAAGGCGGCGGACTCTGCTGTCCAGGCCTTCTCCCACCACCGATTCGAGTGCTTGAGGTGGCACTTCCAAAAAAGTATTTTTCATCTCTATGATCATCGGCATTCTTTCCATGCCCGGGCATGCAGTTGTGAAACCGCTGCTCAGCGAATCCGATGGTAAGAACTGCAGCGACAAGGAACTACGGCACCCAGTGTCTTCGCTAGACGTCCCACCTTCCATGCCGAGTTCTTGTTGCCCCAATTTGCCGTCACCATCCGTCATGCAACCTCTGCTCGGTGAAGAGATTAACGGCAATCCAGCAGCATTGCACCCAGAGCTCTGTTCTTGTAGCTCCGAGTTGCTTGCTTGCCCCCCCAAACCGACACCATCCGTCACGCGACCTCTGCTCAGCCACGACCCAACTGGCTGGCGAGAGGTATTGCACCCAGTGTTTTGCAAGAAGCGCGGCATGCCACCTTCATACGCAATGCCAGGCTCCTCAGTGCCAAGTTCCCGTGGAGCCAGGTTGATTGTTTGCCCCAACGTAACTGGCGGGACAACGGCATTGGAGGGTTCGGCTCTGATCACCCACACGTTTGAAGATCCTTTCGCAATCAAGGTTCGCACACAGCCGTGGTCGAAAGTTGCTTCGGTCGGGATCTCAGGAATCACTGGTACGGACGTCACGAACTTCAGCGAAAATCCGCCCCACGCATGTCCGTTCCGGGCAACTTTGTCTTGGATCCAGCTGTTCATGCTCTCCCAAACGGATTGCAGCTGAAAGGTATTGACGAACAATTCACCCTGGAGCTCAAGGTGAACAGTCACCATTGGCACCTCCTGGTTCGTCTGCCAGCCTCCGGCGTGGCAACTCTGATAGGGATTCTGCACGATCGCCCACTCAGACACTTGAGCAGAGGAAGCAGAACAGAAGCGCAATTGCAGGGGCACTTCGCCGGTCACATCGGTCCGCGAGTTATACGGATCGAACTCCCCTGTTTCACAGTTGAAGTGGTAGATGTCCTTGATTTTGTTGCACGGCACTTCCCATTGCTCTGGGTGTGCCAGGCTGATGACACAGTCAGCACGCAAGAGGTACGGCACTCCCTTATCCGCTCTGGGACTGTGCAGCCAGATCAGAGCGAGCGCCAGCAATCGTTCATGTTCTGCCTGCTCACTGCAGGTAAACAACCAGACAGGAAGCTTCTGGACTGGAGAAAGTCTGAAATCCCCAGCATTTTGATCATGCAGCAGCTGACCGTGACACACAAAAAACGTATCTTCGTCGTTGAGCCTTCCCCCTGCTCCCTTTTCCACAACACGATCAGCAGACTTTGCCTTCATCCTGCTGACGAACAAATCTACACGCTTTGGATCTACTTGGCTCCGCAGCATCGTCTCGAGACCAAAGAGTCCCTGTTGTATGTGTGGGGGGATTGGAATTGGGCCCAGCTGGTTGCTGACCAGCTTGTCCAGCTCGTTTCTGATGATGGCACAAATTGTATCAGCACCAGCACCACTGCTAACAACAGCAACGTGCTGGAGGAAAGGGAGTGATGGCGCATGGCAACCAAGCCCCATTGCTACCCGGGATAAGGAACCAATATTGACACCTCTGAAACAAGTTTGAGAAGAACAAGCCTGTTCTGGTTCAGCTGCCCATGCATACCATTCATGTCTGAGCGTGCAGCAAACCGGAGCCCTTTCAGCCACAACGGCAGCTATGGTCTAGTGATACGCCGCTAAGCTTGGTTCCTTGCGTCATGCAACATTCTCGAACGGCAATGAGGGCATGGAAAAAGTCGATTGCTCAGGGATTCGCTCGTCGATGACGAGCAGAAGACAACCTGGCATCATGAAATATGAAGCAGGTGCGGCTGCCGCTCGCAGGGATCACGTTGACAGTCGCATGCAATGCCCAAAGCACACAGGAAGTGCACCGGCAAGCAGCAATGCTTACGGGTTGCAAAGGCATACAAAAAAGATGGAAACTAGTCTTCGCTGCTTCACATGCCACATCTGCCGAATGAAGCCCCACCAAACCAAACAAGCCAGAAAGTCTGGAACTCTTGCACAATAAAGGACATTCTCGTCATCTTTCTGATGGACCCTGGCAGCCCCAGATACCTGGATTACCCGGACACCCGGGCGTGCAGGTTATGTGTTTGCACTCCGCGAGAAACCAGCTCTATGTCTCCAAAGTGATTATCCTTCACCCACATAATGCACTCGCAGATGCTTGCCTCTATCTCATTCAACCTGGCTATCGGTGCCTCCATCCGGCGTCGGTGGCACAGAGGGTTCATGGCCTCTGCAGATCTCTGCAGTGCTACATGTTCAGTGGAGGGCTCCCCGTTTTTGTGCTGGCAGCTCCTTGTGCCCACACTTCGCTGCGGCAGCTTCCTCGAGTTGCATCAGGTTGGACATGTAGTTTCAAGCTTGGTCGGGTCGGCCAGTCCGCAACTACTTGACCAAGTGGGAACAATTGACTTCTAACTCAGCAGCTGCAGGACAGCAATTGGCGCCTCATACGGGCTCCAAGGTCTGGCAGAGGCGATGCACGGCAGCTCTCGGCAAAAGGAGTCGAAGTGACACCGTGGATTGTTCGGGCATTCGAGCGGATTGCCTCTTAATGAAGGAAAGTTCTTGTGCGAGAAAACTACTGAGACTGTCCATCATCATCGGCACTCATCACTGCGCAGATGTCTATTTGCAGAACAATGAACATTAGGCCGGCCATATCTTGAGACCTGATTAAGGAAAGGAAAGGAGTTGTCTCATGATATGACCCACCCATGATATGGCCTACGCTTATCATGACGACAATTCCACAGTCATGGTTTACCGCGTCCCTGCACTGCCCGTCACGGGGCAAATTCGGCGATCTGTGTGCGAATGCTTGGAGCTCGGCTCTTCGACTCTGCAGTGCACGAATCCCGCCTGTCAGTCGAAGCCACGCACAGCACAAACGCTTTAGTTTTCCTCTCGTGCACCACTCCGTGGGGTTGCAGAGGGCCAGGAGTTGATGCGGAACATCGGAAAGCAACCTCTCAGGGCAACGCAATGCCAGGCCACATAAGCAAACTCTCAACCCGGGCCGCCGCTGAATCGTGTATTCTGAGATACACTTGCTGTCGCATCCAGCTTCGTTACATCAAGCTACATGCTAGGCTTTGCGCCTGGCCTGGTGCTGAAGCACCTTGACGAAACTGATGCAAACTTGGGCATAACAATCAGTCCTGTCACGTCCTATCACAGTGCCCAGCAGTGGGATCCTTTTTTCAGACTCCTCGTCGAGGACCATCACCGTCAAGTGCGCCTCGTGGACCTGCGCACTCACCAAAAAAAATGCAATCAACAGCGAAACCTGGCGAAACCGACCCAGCCCTGGCCTTTGTCACGACGGCATAGTCTTGCAAGTGGTCGCTGCCTTCTGCCAGCTCGACGAGGTCACCGAGCTCCGGGGTTCCTGTGGGCCTAACCCTGGGCCTCGTCCCGTTTACGGCATGAAAGTAGATCGTGAGGTCGGCGAGCATTGCCAGGTGCTCTTCGCAGGTCTGCGGATTGCCCTGTGGCATGGCTGGCAGGGCTGGCGGCGGCGGTTCACGCCGGTCCTCTCCAAGCACCTTCGCAGCCGGCAGCTCGTTGTCACGCCGGTCTTCTTCCAAGGCCTTGTCCTCCTTCTGCTCGTTGTGGTCCTGGTGCCCATCCTCCTCCTCCTCCTCCTCCTCCTCCTCCTCCTCCTCCTCCTCCCGGGAGTTGTCACCCAGCCGTCCCTCCTCTAAGGCATCCTCCTCCTTGAGATCCAGCTGCGGTCGAGGTGGCCACTCATCCTCCAGTCTTTCGCGCAGGCCGCAGCAAATGCTGCCCATCTCCACGCAACGGCGTGCACTGGATCAGCTTTGCTCGAGCCCGGCGTCTGCGGTGCGGCATCTGATGTTGTCCTCTGCGCAAGGCCCCTGTCTTGATGTCAAACTGTGAAAGGGCCACAGGCAGGTGACTCTGAATTTCAGTAGAACTGCATGACTATGTTCTTATATTCGGCGTGAATGGAAGCTCAGGTGGCTGCACTTTTTGAACATCCGGAAAGCTCGTCGCTGCCATTGATGTTTCTCCCGAAGGCTTCTGGGAGCCAGGGTATCCTCACACAGACAAACTCACAAAATCTAAGAGTGTATCGATACAGACCTCGGGTACCAACGGAGATTTCAACACAAAGTCTTCACGTGACAGCATGTAGCCTCAAAGGTGCACTTCAGTTGACGACACGCTAATGCCCGGTTCGGGATTCTTCTCTTCATGTCTCACAAGTGTCACAGGCGCAAACCCAAGGGCTCAAACTCAGCTATGAATGCTGACAGGCTGCGTGATGAAAAGCCTTTGAAAGTGTAGGCCAATGTAGGCCATGCAGGCTGATGCACGCGGTTTCCGGATTGTTCTGCCGCAGAAGAAACGTGTCCTCGGTTTATAGATGCACCGATATGCAGTGGGACCCAAGTCGCCGTAAATCGGATTCTGACCCGATGCTCAGCGCCGGCGTACCCCTGGGGCCAGCACTGTCATCCCTCCGCAACCTCGCAAAGCCTCGGTGCATCTCTCTGGCAGCATGCAAACTGCTGCCGGAGGGCCCCAACTACCCCTCTGGCTGCCCGACCAAAGCACTCACGACCGCTCTCAACATTCTGAGCCGCCAGCTCGTCGATACCGAAATGGGCAGACCTGATGTTTCGAGAACTCGGCTTCCATCTGCAGGACTGTCTCCCGGCTCAGAGTTATGAGGCTGGGCCCTGGCTCGCTTGCGGAGAAGCGGACGTTCACCACGAGTTCCACGGTTTTGCCCCTGTCAAAAGCGGAATGAGAAGGCATGTGGATCTGAAGAAGAACACAGCATGCATGGCACGCAGCCTTTGGATGAAGATGGGAAATTCACTGTGGCGTTCATCCAAAGCGACTTGCCCTTCACGTCCGGCATACCTGGTTGTGCAATGCACTCGCAATCTTCCGCGGATGTCATAAGCACAGTCCACTAGTCAGCTAGTCCTTCGGCTCCCCACACCCCCGATTACCCCAATCTACAGCACTGCACTGGTGCAGCCGTGCCACTTCGCGTTGCACGACCGCTTGACCTGGACCCTCTTGCCCAGCCGTCCAACGACGGATTCGAGAATCACCTTGTTCTTGTAGGGCCAAGATTCGGCCCTTACCCTTCTTCGATCCTCGTCGAGGACCATCACCGTCAAGTGCGCCTCGTGGACCTGCGCACTCACCAAAAAAATGCAATCAACAGCGAAACCTGGCGAAGCCGACCCAGCCCTGGCCTTTGTCACGACGGCATATGATGCCGAGTGGTCGCTGCCTTCTGCCAGCTCGACGAGGTCACCGAGCTCCGGGGTTCCTGTGGGCCTGACCCTGGGCCTCGTCCCGTTTACCGCATGGAAGTACTCCGTGAGGTCGGCGAGCATTGCCAGGTGCTCTTCGAAGGTCTGCGGATTGCCCTCTGGCATGGCTGGAAGGGCTGACGGTGGCGGTTCACGCCGGTCCTCTCCAAGCACCTTCGCAGCCGGCAGCTCGTTGTCACGCCGGTCTTCTTCCAAGGCCTTGTCCTCCTTCTGCTCGTTGTGGTCCTGGTGCCCATCCTGCTCCTCCTCCCGGGCCTTGTCACCCAGCCGTCCCTCCTCTAAGGCATCCTCCTCCTTGAGATCCATCTGCGGTCGAGGTGGCCACTCATCCTCCAGTCTCTCGCGCAGGCCGCAGCAAATGCTGCCCATCTCCACGCAACGGCGTGCACTGGATCAGCTTTGCTCGAGCCCGGCGTCTGCGGTGCGGCATCTGATGTTGCCCTCTGCGCAAGGCCCCTGTCTTGATGTCAAACTGTGAAAGGGCCACAGGCAGGTGACTCTGAATTTCAGTAGAACTGCATGACTATGTTCTTATATTCGGCGTGACTGGAAGCTCAGCTGGCTGCACTTTTTGAGCATCCGGAAAGCTCGTCGCTGCCATTGATGCTTCTCCCGAATGCTTCTGGGAGCCAGGGTATCCTCACACAGACAAACTCACAAAATCTAAGAGTGTATCGATACAGACCTCGGGTACCAACGGAGATTTCAACACAAAGTCTTCACGTGACAGCATGTAGCCTCAAAGGTGCACTTCAGTTGACGACACGCTACTGCCAGTTTCGGGATTCTTCTCTTCATGTCTCAGGCGCAAACCGAAGGGCTCAAACTCAGCTATGAATGCTGACAGGCTGCGTGATGAAAAGCCTTTGAAAGTGTAGGCCAATGTAGGCCATGCAGGCTGATGCACGCGGTTTCCGGATTGTTCTGCCGCAGAAGAAAAGTGTCCTCGGTTTATAGATGCCCCGTAAATCGGATTCTGACCCGATGCTCAGCGCCGGCGTACCCCTGGGGCCAGCACTGTCATCCCTCCGCAACCTCGCAAAGCCTCGGTGCATCTCTCTGGCAGCATGCAAACTGCTGCCGGAGGGCCCCAACTACCCCTCTGGCTGCCTGACCAAAGCACTCACGACCGCTCTCAACATTCTGAGCCGCCAGCTCGTCGATACCGAAATGGGCAGACCTGATGTTTCGAGAACTCGGCTTCCATCTGCTGGACTATCTCCCGGCTCAGAGTTATGAGGCTGGGCCCTGGCTCGCTTGCGGAGAAGCGGACGTTCACCACGAGTTCCACGGTTTTGCCCCTGTCAAAAGCGGAATGAGAAGGCATGTGGATCTGAAGAAGAACACAGCATGCATGGCACGCAGCCTTTGGATGAAGATGGGAAATTCACTGTGGCGTTCATCCAAAGCGACTTGCCCTTCACGTCCGGCATACCTGGTTGTGCAATGCACTCGCAATCTTCCGCGGATGTCATAAGCACAGTCCACTAGTCAGCTAGTCCTTCGGCTCCCCACACCCCCGATTACCCCAATCTGCAGCACTGCACTGGTGCAGCCGTGCCACTTCGCGTTGCACGACCGCTTGACCTGGACCCTCTTGCCCAGCCGCCCAACGACGGATTCGAGAATCACCTTGTTCTTGTAGGGCCAAGATTCGGCCCTTACCCTTCTTCGATCCTCGTCGAGGACCATCACCGTCAAGTGCGCCTCGTGGACCTGCGCACTCACCAAAAAAATGCAATCAACAGCGAAACCTGGCGAAGCCGACCCAGCCCTGGCCTTTGTCACGACGGCATATGATGCCGAGTGGTCGCTGCCTTCTGCCAGCTCGACGAGGTCACCGAGCTCCGGGGTTCCTGTGGGCCTGACCCTGGGCCTCGTCCCGTTTACCGCATGGAAGTACTCCGTGAGGTCGGCGAGCATTGCCAGGTGCTCTTCGAAGGTCTGCGGATTGCCCTCTGGCATGGCTGGAAGGGCTGACGGTGGCGGTTCACGCCGGTCCTCTCCAAGCACCTTCGCAGCCGGCAGCTCGTTGTCACGCCGGTCTTCTTCCAAGGCCTTGTCCTCCTTCTGCTCGTTGTGGTCCTGGTGCCCATCCTCCTCCTCCTCCCGGGCCTTGTCACCCAGCCGTCCCTCCTCTAAGGCATCCTCCTCCTTGAGATCCATCTGCGGTCGAGGTGGCCACTCATCCTGAAGTCTCTCGCGCAGGCCGCAGCAAATGCTGCCCATCTCCACGCAACGGCGTGCACTGGATCAGCTTTGCTCGAGCCCGGCGTCTGCGTTGCGGCATCTGATGTTGCCCTCTGCGCAAGGCCCCTGTCTTGATGTCAAACTGTGAAAGGGCCACAGGCAGGTGACTCTGAATTTCAGTAGAACTGCATGACTATGTTCTTATATTCGGCGTGACTGGAAGCTCAGCTGGCTGCACTTTTTGAGCATCCGGAAAGCTCGTCGCTGCCATTGATGCTTCTCCCGAATGCTTCTGGGAGCCAGGGTATCCTCACACAGACAAACTCACAAAATCTAAGAGTGTATCGATACAGACCTCGGGTACCAACGGAGATTTCAACACAAAGTCTTCACGTGACAGCATGTAGCCTCAAAGGTGCACTTCAGTTGACGACACGCTACTGCCAGTTTCGGGATTCTTCTCTTCATGTCTCAGGCGCAAACCGAAGGGCTCAAACTCAGCTATGAATGCTGACAGGCTGCGTGATGAAAAGCCTTTGAAAGTGTAGGCCAATGTAGGCCATGCAGGCTGATGCACGCGGTTTCCGGATTGTTCTGCCGCAGAAGAAACGTGTCCTCGGTTTATAGATGCCCCGTAAATCGGATTCTGACCCGATGCTCAGCGCCGGCGTACCCCTGGGGCCAGCACTGTCATCCCTCCGCAACCTCGCAAAGCCTCGGTGCATCTCTCTGGCAGCATGCAAACTGCTGCCGGAGGGCCCCAACTACCCCTCTGGCTGCCTGACCAAAGCACTCACGACCGCTCTCAACATTCTGAGCCGCCAGCTCGTCGATACCGAAATGGGCAGACCTGATGTTTCGAGAACTCGGCTTCCATCTGCTGGACTATCTCCCGGCTCAGAGTTATGAGGCTGGGCCCTGGCTCGCTTGCGGAGAAGCGGACGTTCACCACGAGTTCCACGGTTTTGCCCCTGTCAAAAGCGGAATGAGAAGGCATGTGGATCTGAAGAAGAACACAGCATGCATGGCACGCAGCCTTTGGATGAAGATGGGAAATTCACTGTGGCGTTCATCCAAAGCGACTTGCCCTTCACGTCCGGCATACCTGGTTGTGCAATGCACTCGCAATCTTCCGCGGATGTCATAAGCACAGTCCACTAGTCAGCTAGTCCTTCGGCTCCCCACACCCCCGATTACCCCAATCTGCAGCACTGCACTGGTGCAGCCGTGCCACTTCGCGTTGCACGACCGCTTGACCTGGACCCTCTTGCCCAGCCGCCCAACGACGGATTCGAGAATCACCTTGTTCTTGTAGGGCCAAGATTCGGCCCTTACCCTTCTTCGATCCTCGTCGAGGACCATCACCGTCAAGTGCGCCTCGTGGACCTGCGCACTCACCAAAAAAATGCAATCAACAGCGAAACCTGGCGAAACCGACCCAGCCCTGGCCTTTGTCACGACGGCATATGATGCCGAGTGGTCGCTGCCTTCTGCCAGCTCGACGAGGTCACCGAGCTCCGGGGTTCCTGTGGGCCTAACCCTGGGCCTCGTCCCGTTTACCGCATGGAAGTACTCCGTGAGGTCGGCGAGCATTGCCAGGTGCTCTTCGAAGGTCTGCGGATTGCCCTCTGGCATGGCTGGAAGGGCTGACGGTGGCGGTTCACGCCGGTCCTCTCCAAGCACCTTCGCAGCCGGCAGCTCGTTGTCACGCCGGTCTTCTTCCAAGGCCTTGTCCTCCTTCTGCTCGTTGTGGTCCTGGTGCCCATCCTGCTCCTCCTCCCGGGCCTTGTCACCCAGCCGTCCCTCCTCTAAGGCATCCTCCTCCTTGAGATCCATCTGCGGTCGAGGTGGCCACTCATCCTCCAGTCTTTCGCGCAGGCCGCAGCAAATGCTGCCCATCTCCACGCAACGGCGTGCACTGGATCAGCTTTGCTCGAGCCCGGCGTCTGCGGTGCGGCATCTGATGTTGCCCTCTGCGCAAGGCCCCTGTCTTGATGTCAAACTGTGAAAGGGCCACAGGCAGGTGACTCTGAATTTCAGTAGAACTGCATGACTATGTTCTTATATTCGGCGTGACTGGAAGCTCAGCTGGCTGCACTTTTTGAGCATCCGGAAAGCTCGTCGCTGCCATTGATGTTTCTCCCGAATGCTTCTGGGAGCCAGGGTATCCTCACACAGACAAACTCACAAAATCTAAGAGTGTATCGATACAGACCTCGGGTACCAACGGAGATTTCAACACAAAGTCTTCACGTGACAGCATGTAGCCTCAAAGGTGCACTTCAGTTGACGACACGCTACTGCCAGTTTCGGGATTCTTCTCTTCATGTCTCAGGCGCAAACCGAAGGGCTCAAACTCAGCTATGAATGCTGACAGGCTGCGTGATGAAAAGCCTTTGAAAGTGTAGGCCAATGTAGGCCATGCAGGCTGATGCACGCGGTTTCCGGATTGTTCTGCCGCAGAAGAAAAGTGTCCTCGGTTTATAGATGCCCCGTAAATCGGATTCTGACCCGATGCTCAGCGCCGGCGTACCCCTGGGGCCAGCACTGTCATCCCTCCGCAACCTCGCAAAGCCTCGGTGCATCTCTCTGGCAGCATGCAAACTGCTGCCGGAGGGCCCCAACTACCCCTCTGGCTGCCTGACCAAAGCACTCACGACCGCTCTCAACATTCTGAGCCGCCAGCTCGTCGATACCGAAATGGGCAGACCTGATGTTTCGAGAACTCGGCTTCCATCTGCTGGACTATCTCCCGGCTCAGAGTTATGAGGCTGGGCCCTGGCTCGCTTGCGGAGAAGCGGACGTTCACCACGAGTTCCACGGTTTTGCCCCTGTCAAAAGCGGAATGAGAAGGCATGTGGATCTGAAGAAGAACACAGCATGCATGGCACGCAGCCTTTGGATGAAGATGGGAAATTCACTGTGGCGTTCATCCAAAGCGACTTGCCCTTCACGTCCGGCATACCTGGTTGTGCAATGCACTCGCAATCTTCCGCGGATGTCATAAGCACAGTCCACTAGTCAGCTAGTCCTTCGGCTCCCCACACCCCCGATTACCCCAATCTGCAGCACTGCACTGGTGCAGCCGTGCCACTTCGCGTTGCACGACCGCTTGACCTGGACCCTCTTGCCCAGCCGCCCAACGACGGATTCGAGAATCACCTTGTTCTTGTAGGGCCAAGATTCGGCCCTTACCCTTCTTCGATCCTCGTCGAGGACCATCACCGTCAAGTGCGCCTCGTGGACCTGCGCACTCACCAAAAAAATGCAATCAACAGCGAAACCTGGCGAAGCCGACCCAGCCCTGGCCTTTGTCACGACGGCATATGATGCCGAGTGGTCGCTGCCTTCTGCCAGCTCGACGAGGTCACCGAGCTCCGGGGTTCCTGTGGGCCTGACCCTGGGCCTCGTCCCGTTTACCGCATGGAAGTACTCCGTGAGGTCGGCGAGCATTGCCAGGTGCTCTTCGAAGGTCTGCGGATTGCCCTCTGGCATGGCTGGAAGGGCTGACGGTGGCGGTTCACGCCGGTCCTCTCCAAGCACCTTCGCAGCCGGCAGCTCGTTGTCACGCCGGTCTTCTTCCAAGGCCTTGTCCTCCTTCTGCTCGTTGTGGTCCTGGTGCCCATCCTCCTCCTCCTCCCGGGCCTTGTCACCCAGCCGTCCCTCCTCTAAGGCATCCTCCTCCTTGAGATCCATCTGCGGTCGAGGTGGCCACTCATCCTGAAGTCTCTCGCGCAGGCCGCAGCAAATGCTGCCCATCTCCACGCAACGGCGTGCACTGGATCAGCTTTGCTCGAGCCCGGCGTCTGCGTTGCGGCATCTGATGTTGCCCTCTGCGCAAGGCCCCTGTCTTGATGTCAAACTGTGAAAGGGCCACAGGCAGGTGACTCTGAATTTCAGTAGAACTGCATGACTATGTTCTTATATTCGGCGTGACTGGAAGCTCAGCTGGCTGCACTTTTTGAGCATCCGGAAAGCTCGTCGCTGCCATTGATGCTTCTCCCGAATGCTTCTGGGAGCCAGGGTATCCTCACACAGACAAACTCACAAAATCTAAGAGTGTATCGATACAGACCTCGGGTACCAACGGAGATTTCAACACAAAGTCTTCACGTGACAGCATGTAGCCTCAAAGGCGCACTTCAGTTGACGACACGCTACTGCCAGTTTCGGGATTCTTCTCTTCATGTCTCAGGCGCAAACCGAAGGGCTCAAACTCAGCTATGAATGCTGACAGGCTGCGTGATGAAAAGCCTTTGAAAGTGTAGGCCAATGTAGGCCATGCAGGCTGATGCACGCGGTTTCCGGATTGTTCTGCCGCAGAAGAAAAGTGTCCTCAGTTTATAGATGCCCCGTAAATCGGATTCTGACCCGATGCTCAGCGCCGGCGTACCCCTGGGGCCAGCACTGTCATCCCTCCGCAACCTCGCAAAGCCTCGGTGCATCTCTCTGGCAGCATGCAAACTGCTGCCGGAGGGCCCCAACTACCCCTCTGGCTGCCTGACCAAAGCACTCACGACCGCTCTCAACATTCTGAGCCGCCAGCTCGTCGATACCGAAATGGGCAGACCTGATGTTTCGAGAACTCGGCTTCCATCTGCTGGACTATCTCCCGGCTCAGAGTTATGAGGCTGGGCCCTGGCTCGCTTGCGGAGAAGCGGACGTTCACCACGAGTTCCACGGTTTTGCCCCTGTCAAAAGCGGAATGAGAAGGCATGTGGATCTGAAGAAGAACACAGCATGCATGGCACGCAGCCTTTGGATGAAGATGGGAAATTCACTGTGGCGTTCATCCAAAGCGACTTGCCCTTCACGTCCGGCATACCTGGTTGTGCAATGCACTCGCAATCTTCCGCGGATGTCATAAGCACAGTCCACTAGTCAGCTAGTCCTTCGGCTCCCCACACCCCCGATTACCCCAATCTGCAGCACTGCACTGGTGCAGCCGTGCCACTTCGCGTTGCACGACCGCTTGACCTGGACCCTCTTGCCCAGCCGCCCAACGACGGATTCGAGAATCACCTTGTTCTTGTAGGGCCAAGATTCGGCCCTTACCCTTCTTCGATCCTCGTCGAGGACCATCACCGTCAAGTGCGCCTCGTGGACCTGCGCACTCACCAAAAAAATGCAATCAACAGCGAAACCTGGCGAAACCGACCCAGCCCTGGCCTTTGTCACGACGGCATATGATGCCGAGTGGTCGCTGCCTTCTGCCAGCTCGACGAGGTCACCGAGCTCCGGGGTTCCTGTGGGCCTAACCCTGGGCCTCGTCCCGTTTACCGCATGGAAGTACTCCGTGAGGTCGGCGAGCATTGCCAGGTGCTCTTCGAAGGTCTGCGGATTGCCCTCTGGCATGGCTGGAAGGGCTGACGGTGGCGGTTCACGCCGGTCCTCTCCAAGCACCTTCGCAGCCGGCAGCTCGTTGTCACGCCGGTCTTCTTCCAAGGCCTTGTCCTCCTTCTGCTCGTTGTGGTCCTGGTGCCCATCCTGCTCCTCCTCCCGGGCCTTGTCACCCAGCCGTCCCTCCTCTAAGGCATCCTCCTCCTTGAGATCCATCTGCGGTCGAGGTGGCCACTCATCCTCCAGTCTTTCGCGCAGGCCGCAGCAAATGCTGCCCATCTCCACGCAACGGCGTGCACTGGATCAGCTTTGCTCGAGCCCGGCGTCTGCGGTGCGGCATCTGATGTTGCCCTCTGCGCAAGGCCCCTGTCTTGATGTCAAACTGTGCTCACACGAGTTGCTTCCCACCGCTGGAATACGTACGGACCAGTCTACAACGATGGAAGGACATCCAATTAGCCCACCTTTGTGCCAACACGGAACGATCTACGTAGGACGCCTTGTGTCATTCAATTCAATTCCCATAGCGGTAAGCGTGCCTTTATGATGACATAGCCCAGCCCTCTCACATGCGTCGTGCGTGCATAATGGATGCTTGATCTGCAGTGCACGAACCCTGCTTCCGTGCCTGTCACAGCATGTCGCAGCCACACAGCACAGCACACCACAAGTTCCTTTTGCAAACCACTCCCGAGTCTCGCAGACAGCCAGGAGATGCGGAACATCGGAAAGCAACCTCCCAGGGCCACACTGCTTAGGCCACAGAGCTTCGGTTGTGGAGTCTTGTCTTGCTGAACTGGCCTGGTGCTGAAGCGCCCTGACAAATCTGATGCAAACATTGCCATGACCGCCTTAGTGGAGCTGATTCGTAGCTTATCCATCTCTGTGGCAACATCTGCCACAACTCAACCGGCATTCACAGAAAATCGATATCAGCAAAGGGATCCTCGTTTTCAGACTCCGTGCCGAGCTTCTGTCAGCACTCAAACCAACCTGACTTGGAGAGAAGCACCACTCAGCTGGACTGTTCTCGGATCCCTTGATGCTTTGACTCCCAACTGAAATCACAGTCCTGTTCACGCTGGCTCAGGGGGCTAGCAGACAATGCGAGCCGTTCCCTCGCCGGGCTATCGCTTCTCTCCCCGCACAGCTTGCGTGACGCTCGACGCTTCATTCCGTTCGCTTGTCTTTATACTGGTAGCTGTCTTCTGCCATGCGATTTCAACAGCTTGGAATGAAAGAGTCCGTGCATGCAGCTGTTCCCTATTCCGACCAAGACAACTATGCACAAAGTGGCATGTGACAAGCGTTGGCAAGTCATGCCTGTGGCCCATCGGCCTTTGTACAATCGGGACAGCCCGTTTAGTGCAGCTGGTACACTCCCATGCGCGGATTTTCTGCATGGATGCCCGACGGCTGACAAGGCTGTACCCGGGTCTTAACCTTCGACTCCGCAAGCCTCGCGACCGACAAAACGAGGCAAAACAACACTAGCGCTTCGAGCGCTTGCCCTTGCGGCCCTTTTGCTTTGCACTGACTTTGCCGGCTTTTTCAGATCTGGCTCCCCTGGCTACTCTGTCCCTCTTCTTGTCGTTCGCAGACTTCGAAACCTTGGCGGTTTGAGGGCGGCTGCCGGATCTCCGCTTTTTCGGCCCGGGCTCCTCGAAATCTCCGACCCAGGTCACTGTGCCCACACCTTTTACAGAGTTCTCGCGGAAGACGAGGGCACAGCCTGGCTCGATAATTTCTGGCCAGTGAGCCCAGCGGAACAAGACTTCTGCTGAATCGCCGGCTCTAAGCAACGAGATGGGCCGCCCTTCCGCGTCGCTCATGGACATAACTCGAGCCGTTTGCCGCGTCATGCCAACATGAAGGACGGGCTCATATCTCACACGTATGGAACTTGGATGCTGCAGCACAGTGATGCTCGCCTTGATCCAACGTGACGGCGTCAACGGAGATTTCGTGCCAACCAGGATTTTTGATCTACTCAAGACCTTTGGCGTCAGAGCATCCCGGGCCTTTCCGGAGGCTTTCAATGCGAAGGTACCGCTCGAGCCAGCTCTCAGCTCTTCGACGGGGTGGTCTTGCGCACGGATGGAGGCCAACCTCAAGCTGATGAAGCCATCCTTCACCAAGTCTCCGGAGGTGTCTACGATGGGCCCCAGCCGGATCCCATCGTTGGGCCTCGCAGTCCCGTGTAGCACCCTGCCTGAAACTACGAGTCCCACCCCCGGAACTTGGGGGAAGACTTCGTCGATCTGAATTTGAAGGGCTTCGGATCCTGGTAGAGACAAAGCTGCGGGAGCTTGCAGGGGTGGTCTTCGAGGAAGGACATTCAGCAAGAGCTTTAGCTCTGGAATCATCGCGCCAGTGACTGCGGAGCACAGGAAGATCGGCGTAAATCCTTGGAGGATGCGCTCTGCTGCGAGCACTACATCGTTAGCGTCCTTCACAACAAATGTAGGTGTGCCCATCTGCTTCATGAACTTCTTGACATCTTCTAGAGCGGACGTTCTCTGCCCTTCGCCTGCCACGTCACATTTCGTGAGGCAGATGACGGTGGGGATCGCAAGCGCATTTGCAACCACCAAATGCTCATGGACCATGCCCCGCAGTTCGCCACGGTTAGCATCAACCGTACAGAGCAGATAGTCGGGTGCCAAGCCCACCATGCCTTGCAAGGTCGTTTTGAAGTAGCGCTCGTGCCCGCACAAGTCGAAGAATGTGATGAGCTTGGAAGCCTTTTCGGCGATCCGCGCTTGTGCCTCAGCCCGTCCGGCATTGTGCTGCGGTTCCTCACTGCGAAACACTCCCTCGCTGTCCTCCTTATAGTTCACGACCCGACCGATTTGATCGAAGCCTAGTGTCATCGTGGAAACACACGAAGTCCTCCCAGTCTCGAGTTCATGGCGATGGCGAAACACAGAGGAGCGCGCGCGCCCTCGGCCGTCGTCCCTCAAGCCCTGCGTGAGAAGGCCCAGCAGCGTGGACTTTCCAGAATCCACGTTTCCAACAGTGCAGATCCTCACCTGGTCCCCCTGCCCCAGCAGAGAAAGCGCCGATGTTTGGGCTCGGATCAGTGCAGTGATGGACGTCTTGTTACCAGGCGCAATCCCGGTTCGTCTGCTCAGGACAGTAACTGTTGCTGGGATTCTTGCAGCCATGGCATTCAAGACAGACATCGACTCTGCTAACTCTGCATCACTCAAGCCCAACACCGCCCCGTCATCTGCGACACCTAGTCGATACACAGCATCCCGGTACTGGCTGAGATCTGCGACTTCGGCACACTCCTCTTCGGAGCTGCATTCTCGCATTCGCCAATTTAGCTGAGTCACCAATTCTTCGAATCTCTCGGTGCCCTCCTGGGCACTTAGCTTAAGCTTGTACTCCACCTTGCCCAGGGGCGGTTCCGGTGCCAATGTCAGCGCGCTGCTGTCTGGAATGAAGCTTCTCCTCTCAGCCATCTGCCGGCGAGGCAATCGCGACTGGCTCAGGCGCTCCGTCGGCTTGGAAAAGAAAGCGCCTCGTACCATGCACGCGACGAGATTACAAGCCCAATTCAATAAGAGCATGCCCATCAGCAGGGTCCATGGCCCGGAGCTCTGCCGTAGACGCGGTCTCTTCGGGGTGGCAGCCCCCATTGGAGACAGACCACTTGGATCCTAATCTAATCGCTTGGGCCTAAGACCACAAAACAGCAGGGAATGCATTACGCAGACTTCTTTGCGAGCTTCTGCAGTGACGGGGCTTCCACAAGCGCAGCGGCCCAACAGGCATCGAGGGCGCCCAAGTGTGTCAGTGCCAAGCTCCGTCACCTTCTCAAAAGGTCGAGTCGAGAATTGGGCAACCCTTTCTTGTAGCAACCCTAACCCTTCATAGTAAGCCGTTAGAACCCGCTTCAAGAGGAAGGGGCCCGGCCCCCCAACAGCGGCCGAGCCTGGACCCGACCTTCCCAGGGCCGCGGGATCGAAGGCCCCGGGCCGAGCAGCAAAGGCGGCAGCGTGCTCGGAAGCGCCCGCGTCGCCTTCGCCTTCGCCTCGGCGAGGCGCAAAAGAGAAGCCTAGAAAGACAAAGCACCACCTGGCATAGACTAGCATAGTGCAATACGATCTGATATGATACGATATGAAAAATCAGATCATGATATTCTGGCATATTATGCTGATACCTATGCATATATTCATATTATCACTTCGATTCAGACCCAGACTTCCTTGCAGTTCGTGAGGCCATCACGGTTGAGGCGCACGTAGACCTCTTGAGGCCGTAAACTCTTTGGCAGACGTCCAAAGCCTCCTGAACATGCGTCACCAATCGCATCGAAAGGCACTTCTTTGCATAACATGCTCATCAGCAATGCCATCAAGCACCGAGCGGCACGCCTTCAGCAAGCATGTAGAGGCCTCTCAAAACAGATGTCACAAACTTGGCACGGGTAAGACAGGTCACAATAACGAGGATACCAAAATCGTCTCGTCCTCCTCCTCTTCTGCCTCCGCCTCTACCTCCACCTCCTCATCCTTTTCCACCTCCGCCTCCTCCTCACCTTTATCATCATCATCAGAACCATCACCACACGCAGCCGCACCATGACCGTCAGCAACGGCGTCATCATTCTCGTCAGAACCATCACCACCGTCGTTGTGTTCACCATCATAATGGCCACCATCGACGTCTTGACCAAGAATGACCATCACCACCATCATCATCACCATATTCATCTTCATCTCCATCACCCGTCACAAGAGTAAGCACTCGGTATTGCCGCTCCTTTTTGTTATCTCTTTCCTGCTTGATGATAGTATTCGCAACTGTTCCCTGTTTCCCTGCCCTGACTGTCTTGCTAGTTTAACCCCGTACGGCTTCGATGATTCTGTGCTTCCCGGTTTTCTCTGCACACGCCGTACATTGGGCCCTTTCTCCTCTGCAACTCAATACGCGACGATTTTCCCAAAGAGCCTGTGAAAGCAATGACCGCGTGTCGGTAAGTCGACGAAGTAAGTGGATGACTCCTCCGGTATCAGAGCAAATCTGACAGATGCATCTCCGAATGCGCGGCTGCGGCATGCTGCGCTGGCACCTGCCGCAATGGCACCCTGGAAAGGGTTGCGACGAACAGCCGGCCTGTGCCACAGATATCGTCGACATGTGACCTTCAAGCATCAGTGCAGCGAGCCTCTCCAAGCGACGAACTAATCGATGGGCAGGACGGCTCGTCCACCGAGGCAACATCTGCAGGAGATGCTCAAAAAAGGTGGTATTTGCACGAGGTATCTCACAGGCTTCTCCACCGGCACATTCCTCGCAACCAGATGGTGGTTCCGGCCTTGACTCGGTGCAGAGCTTGAGCACGAAGGAAGTGGACGGCCAGGCGAAGCCTCTGTCATCACCGGCGCACAACTCATGTTGCTCCACATCATCGCCAGGTGCAGCACAGATCTTCTGCAGGCTGAAGATGCTGCTTCCTCCGAAAGAAACGACAGGGGAAGCACAGCTGACGAAGCACCCGACTGGCGTTCCTTGGCAGTTCCTCCAGCAATGCCTGAGCCACAGCACTCTCTTGCCAGATCAACCTCACCGCCCTAAACTGGCCCCAAACCAGTCTAAGACGCCGGCCCGTAGAACAGGCAGCCACTGCTCTGAGCGGGGCCCTTCGGAAGCCTGCTCTCTTCGCCACCAACTCAAGACGTATCTCAAAGTGTGCTCAGACTCTCGCCTGCAAAGTGGCGAAGAGGGCACGCCTCTAAAGAAACCGCATCAGATTCTGCTTCGGAGCATTCCCACTACGTCCGTACCGCGAACATGCCAAGCTCCTTGCCGCAGTCTCTCGCCAGAGAAGAGCTTGGCCTCAAGGTTTCGTTGCCGCGTCGCAACTTCAACTTGCCCATGTTTCACCAGGCATCGGTTTTGCTTTGCAAGCTTTGGCTTTGCATTTTTTGAAATGTGCAGCACCTCCTAAACCCGAACCCCCGAGTTCTCAGTGTGTGCCTTCGTGACCAGCGTCTCGCAGCAGATTTGCGTCACTTTGGGACAAGGCACCTGCACACAAATCGCTGCTTGCAGACTGCAGTGCCATCCCAATCCTTCCGACTTCATTTAAGATCGGAGTGAGTCTGGGCACCCTGCCGAAGTGGAGGCGCACCACTCAGTCACGGATATCGTGGCACCTCAAGTCGTTCCATGTCTTTCGTTGAGTGTTCTCCTTTCTATGCTGATGGATGACACCCACCTCCCTCACAAGTGTAGCATGCCCGATCCCGGAAACAAAGGCTTAATCTTGGCCGGTATACGAGGAAGGCAGGTGCAGAAGCCTTTGCAAGTGCGAAAACTGAGCCACAGCACGCATGGTCAGCGTAGCTCCTTGACCCAGTCTCGCCTCTCAAATTGCGTCCAGCGACAAGAAATAAAGCCGAGAGTTCTGCAGCGAACTCGTCAACGGCGGCAGGAAGACCCGAAGCGCGCGTCCACAAGCCATGGCAAGGTCGGCCTGCCGGGGTTCCCGCATGGTGCCCAACCCAGGGTTTCCTGCTGCAAAACTTCGTGGCCTCCTCAGGAGCAACAGCCGCCGGCGAGAGCCGTTGCAGCGACTGTGGCACAGGGTGCATTCTCAACTCAACGACAGAACTCCCGACTGCTTCTCGGCGATAAAGCTGATGTCGGTGCAGTCGCTGGTTTCACTTCGGGCCTCCGCGACAGACGAGAAGGTGGCCAACTCATGGAAGCGGCTGCTCGATTCGCCTGCAGCAGCATCACTCCATCCATGCGATACTGTCGGACTGAGAGCCTGCCTGAAAGGTCGGCCACAATGCCCGCCATTCTCTGCCACAGTACCTTGGCCTGGGATTTGAAGCATTCCAGGTGTCCGCTATCCGTCATAGTCTAGCCCCTCTCAGCTGCCGTGCGAGATCTGGGCAGCGGTCCATATGGCCGAAAGCCGTACCTCAAAGAGCCCACAAGCTTCTTGCCGCAGAGAGCCCCGATCGAAAAATGCCATGGAATGTGAAACCAATCATCTTGCTTCGTATGAAGAGTGTGCTATCTGTGCTTCCCTGTGCTTGTCTCAGTAGTATGATGGGGGATGATGGGGGGGGGTTGCATAGAGAAAGCTGGCGCGGCTGGCAAAGGAGAACACTGCAGATTCTTGCCCGGCCCCAAGGAAGGGCTGTCTCCCCGCTTTTCTGCAGTCCAAGAAGCGGCTTGCCGACGGAACTCCAGACAGATGCTCCTTGCCCCAGGCTCGTGGGAGACATGACCAAGGGCCATGTCTTCAGTTCAAGGATCGGTGCTTGAAGCTTGGATTTTGAGCTTGCTACTCTTTCTCATCTTCCCGTCTAGGGTCATCTAAACTGACCCAAAACCTGAGCCCCTCCCCGCCTGGACGTGCAGAAGCGCGCAACAGCGGTGAGCTTCCAGGAGCTCCTCCGTGCTCAGCAGCCTAGGATTTCAGGGGTTTCTAGAACTGAGGGCTTTGGGTTTTCCGACTTGAGGTGGGGGCAGAAAGTTTTAGGGGTGTCGTGGTTGGGGGTGCTTGGGCTAGGGGCGGATTGGGGGTTAACGGTTACGGGTGCTCGGGGTCGGGTAAAACCGACGATAATCGCAAAAACGCAAGATAAACTTACAGATCTTACAGGAAATTTGAAACTTACACCCTGAGGTCAGGGATGTCAAGCAGAATCCAGAAGGCAGCATGCGACTTGCCGACGTGAATCCGGTTTCCACTCGGGCCCACACCTAGCTCCATGTTCAAGACTCGCGAAGGCCTGTGTCCCAGTCTCAAGACCGGCCTCGAAGCAGCATCCTAGAACACTACTGAGCACAGTGCAGCCTGTGGTGAGTCGAATTCTTGCGATAAGGCTCCGTCAGGAAACTTCGCACACGAGCCACTACTGAGCTTTGTTGCAGATACAGACAATCAAACTGCAGGCGCCGTGAGCGATGCACTGTGTGATACAAACCTTCATTACCTAAAAAACTGTGCGTACCAGCACCACGCCGCACTATGTTGCAGCGTGTGGTAACCCAGGGCACCCTGCTGTTCTTCTTAGTCTAGGCTTAAGACAAGCTCGGCCTCCGGAGACCTCGAGCAGATCACGGCGTATTGCAGCGCGATGCTGGAGCTGCTGGAGGAGCTGCCTGACATCGCAGACCATCGTAGAATTACGCCCTCGAGAGCTGCTTCGGCCTTCGGAGTCTCGAAGCCATCGGGTGGCGGCACCCAGCCTGGGAGGAGGAGAGATCCCAGGGCCCACAAGCTCCAAAAGGGAGGCCCTCTGACCGAAACCAGGAGACACTGCGTCGAAGTCTCTGTCGTCGCAGCAGGTCAAGGCCTCTGGCTGAGCCGATTCTTCGAGGCCACTTAAAACTGCTAGCTCTGCCAGAGAAGCTGTGCTTCCCCCGATTAGACCTGCTCTTGGCTGCGGCTTTGAGGCTCTGACTCTCAGACACTGCAGAGCCGTGTGCAGGCTTTGCTCCGAAGGCAAAGGTACAACCTTTCGGGCCAAGGCGATCGAACTTCAGGTCACTTTTTCATACTTTTTCGCACACAAGTAGTGAAAGTAGTGAAAAAGTGGGTCCTAGCCTCTGGTACCCGAACCGCCAGCTGTGTTGCGCCGGCTTGTAGGGCTGCCTGCCACCGCGCTGTCTCTTCATTGTACTGCCGTCCTCAGGAACCATCTGCCTCTACCTCTACGTCTATTTCAGCGCCTCCTGCATGGATTGGACGGGATCACTGATTACACCTTCGGCCGCAAACGGAATCATCCGAGATCTACCGAAGTGCGAAGCCCAGAGCTGCGGAGCCTTCACCCAGCCGCAGGGCCACGCGCAGGCGCCGGCCCAGACGACACTGCAGCTCCTGAGTCTCACGAGATCTGATCGCAAAGGAAGATCCGAAGATCCCAAAGTTCCCAAATTCGGGTCGGGTCCCTGTGGAAAGCACCGATCTGATATGCAGTAGTCGCCACCTGACACTGCTCGCTGCAAAGTGACCCACTATAGACCCTTAACAGCTTCACATGCCTCCAACACCTCCTGTGGACGTCGCGGCTGGGAATTCATGCGATCTTCCCGACGCACCGTCTCCAAAACACCGTGAGGGATCCGACGTGCAGCTGCCGGGCCGCCCAGGCGGGGCGGTGCCTGCAGCCATCGAGCTGTCAGCTGCTTGTCCACGACTCCAAGCCTGAAGCCGCGAGAAGCGAGTGAAGCGAGTGAAGCAAGCAGAAGCCCCAGCTGCCTGGCCAAACTACGACTCAGGCGACCGAGGAGGTGTGCGGACCTCCTAAGTCGATCCAGGAGCTTAGGACTTAGGAGCTTAGGAGCTTGCTGTTGGGTTCGATGTCTCATAGCGTGCTGCACTTAAGGCCATGTCCATCGTCGCTGAGAAAGTGTCTGGGCCGCTCCGCCTGGATCACGTCGTAAAATCTTAGACCCGCAGACACCCTCATCACCCTCCCCCCGAGCAGCTGTCCTCTCTCGGTCACCACGTCCTTTAAGACCGCATGAATCAGAGCCTCGGCTCTGACCTCGATGCTATGCCGTCACATACTGTCACGTGCACGGCTCGTGTGCAATTTTGCACCTCCAAGATCGCCAAAGCTTCGCAGATGGAAACGACATCAGCCTAAATGCACAAGCGTGCTGCACCATGGGTTTGCCGCGGTAACCTTGCATTGCAAGCCCGATGTATCGAAAGACTTCGGCCCCGGCATCTGCAATGATTTCGCGTCGCTCTTCCGGCTCAAACGCAGGACTTAGCCGTCGATGTCGAGCTGAGACCGGCGCGAAGCCTTCCTGCAAAGCGACGGGGACGGATTTAGGCTCGCGGCAGCAAATACAAGTTGGTCGGGCTGGTCCGGTTCCTTCACCGAGGGTCAGACACGAGCACTTTTCCTTTCGTCTTTCTTTCCGTGCTCCGAGGTGACGGCCCGAGCCCGAGCACTTTTCCTCGCTTCGGCGGCCAAGCCTCGGGTTCCACGGAATGGCCAAAGCATGGCAAAGAGCGGCTGACTTTGGCACCTCCGACCTCGAGGGACTCGCACACAGTCCGCACAGTGAATCGCAATGCGGCCTCATCCGGCCACCTCGAGTCGCAAAGGTGAAAGTGTGAGTCGCGGTGAATCTGCGAAGGCTCCGCGAGGCCTCAAGGCGGCCAGCCCACGACAAAGATGGACCACCGCCTCAAACCTGGGACGCACCATGACCCAACAGACTTTCGCTGACTTCGTCAGGGACCTCTCAAGGCTCCGGCTCCGGCTCCTACCAAAATGGCAGGATTCTGCGATTCTGTGCTCTGTGCTCCGAAGGGTACTCCCCGTCCTCTGTCTGCAAGGACTGCACGGCCGGGAAAACCATGGAGAGGTGATTCAGAAGCTTGGTGTCTCTTGCACTGAATGTGCCGAAGGAATCCGTCAGTCGGGCAAGCTCCGCAAAAGAGCAAGGCGCCGCCTCAGCGGCAAGCAATGGCAAGCAGTTCCAGCCAGCATAGACGGACACGCGCTCCCTCGGCTTGCCTCTTGACAGAAGCGCTGCGAGACCTCAACGACCGGAGACATCTGCACCCACTTGATGTACAGCATGGCATCATATTGCGTATCAACATAGCAGGGTGCCCGACCACCCGCAGAAGTTTCGCAGGCGGGTCTGTAAGCTGCCTCCAAGGAGCTGCAGAACGAAGCTCTCACATCGGCGCCATCAACTTCGCCCAAATCGAGGCCCCCAGAGCCCGGCACCTGCTCTGCCTTCTCATTGCGAACGAATGTAGGATGCGCGACATCTCTCCAATTGACAGAATCTTGCTCTGAACCTGATGTCAAACAGAACATCACCTCACAACGAAGGGTTCCACTCGGCTCCGGCCACAAAGAGACGCTCCAGCTGTCGCCAGAGGAGGTCGTTGTCAAAGTGCCGACGAGCCGGGCCTTCGACCTTTTCGGTAGTTTGACCGAAAAAGCATCCCAGCAGCAAGCACAGCTGCGGATTGGACCAGAGCTATCAGCTCGGATGAACGAAACCTTGAGACGGCTCGACTTCTACAAAGTTGCGGCGTGCAACCAAGCAGATTTTCCAGGGCGTGCACCGCTCAAGCAGGCCGAACGGACGTAGAGTTTGTCGGGCACGCAGCTTCTCCACCTGATCACAGACGAATGTAGAACGTAGCTCCGTCGATGTGGGAAGATAGACCGGAGATCTTCGCTGTCCGCGGTAGCAGTCGTCGTTGGACGGTGCGCTGGGAATTTAGCAGTCCTGTCTAACAGTTGGGGTGTGCTTTCGCTCTTAATCGTTACTTCCAAGTGCGCCCGTGCAAAAAGCCGTCGTCACGAGTACTGTCGAGTACTCATGTCTTGTATCAGCTGAGCCCCGAGCCCGAGTAGAGTACAAACGCCCCAGAAATCTACTGCTGCTACTGCCACCACGATGTAATCGCTTTGAGACGAGCAGGCAAAAGAGATAACGGCTGCTCCTTTGTAGATCTTCGTAGTTGAAACATGTTTTGCACAGCACTGAACATTGCTCTGGCCTTGCTGAGCGGCCGCTCGGTGCCTCGCCGCAGCGTCGAAGCGTCAAATCGAGTCGCTGGGGAATCGAGGTCGGCACGGAAGAGGTGGAAGCGCAGGGAAGTCTCCCTCGAGCTTGTGACGGCATAGCGATCAAAAATTTCCTGCACGCAGAGAGAAGCTAGCATAGCTGAGCCCAGGTAGTGATGGCACCTGCTTCACAAGCTCGCGGTGGTGCAGGCGGGTCGCCGTGCGCTCAACAGCCTGCCCGGTCTCACAAGGTGCTCTCGCAATTGGCTCTTGGCTGCACCGCCTTGATAGTCTTTGCTCTGCGGCGTCCTCGCCTGATGCCTGATGGCAGGATTCATCCGGCAGAGCGCCCTCGGAAGACTGGCTGTGTCCAAGCAGGGTCCTGGCACCACCAACAAGGCCTCCACAAACAGTCATGTGGGAAACTTTCTGGCGGCTACTGTGCTGGGCCCATGCCTCACCTGTGCTGGCTCCGCCTGTGTGGTGGCCTCCGTGGAGAACCTGAATCAGATATCAAAACGCTTCCGCGGCTTCCGGTCCCACATCCCGTGAACTTCCTTCACTGCCGCCGGCCTGGCGAGTCTGCAGAGGCGCCCATGGTTGCGGGCTGGGAGCATTGCCACATGCCTCAATTCCTGAAGTTGGTCCGAAAGTCTGACGAGAAGGGGCTCTGCTTCTGCTAGAGTCGATCAGCCTCATGGACTCAAGCTTGTGAGCCCAGACAGCAAGGACGTAATGAGCTCCTGCAATGAGCTTCACACAGCGAAGGCCGCCAAGGGCCAGAACCAGTGGCTTCCTTTTTGGAAGTGCGCTGACATGGTTTCCGCGTGACGCGAGAACAACTACATGAAGAGCCGGGAATCATCACACAATTCACAAGAACGAGAGCAAGCACGCGCACTACGACGGGTAGGTGAAACTTGGCTGTAAACGCAGCACTAGTAGTACTGCAGACGATGTCTCAAACGTAGGTTGGTCGTGAGACTACCACGTTGCTTCCATTCGGCCACAGCAAAGGTATCTGTCTGAGAACACGATGCAACCGGTAGGGAACAAAAGCTCGAAGCAACGTGGGGCTTGTCTGAGCAGTGCTCTCACACAGAGAGAGCCTAGAGCCTTGCGCGGAGCTGATTGGCTCATCCTTAGAACAATCAAATCAACCAAAACTGCAGGAGACAGCACAAAAGGCGTGACAGACCAAGGGCTGGACACGAATTATTTCGTCGGTGCCGCTCCTTGAGAACCTGGCAGGGTACGTTGGCCGTGCTTCCTCCAAGCTGTTACCTAACTTTGCCGGCTGCACGAGCATGCAAGTGACAAACTCGTCTCGCTCCATGGGGGACGAAAACACCAGGTTCATTCTCCTGAGCGATGCTTCTTCGAAATCAAATCGCCTGCTTTCTAAAGCCCTTACGTGCAATCAGTTCTCCGGTTGTCCATAACAATAACCGCTGCCAGCGCATCAGATGGCAATGAGACCTCGGCAGCCGCGCATGCGAAAGCTCAGACTTGGGAATCCGCAGAAGCCACTAGCTACCTAGCTACCTTGGACTGCGGCAGGAACATGCGTGAAGTCTGTGAGGTCATAACCAAAGCCTCAGCGGCAGCAACTGCTCTGGAAGGGTCTGGTGTCGGACCGCCAAGCTTGCAAGAGCTCCTACGGTGCTGAGAGGTGCCATCGACTGAGGCCTGGTCTAATGTGCTGCATGTGGCTGAAGGGATACCTGCTGCTCCACGCTGAAACGCCTGCTCCGCTAAGAAAAGAAGAGAAAACGAGGAGAGCACTCCACGATGGCCCCCTTGATGTGCATGGAGAATGCTGTCAGCTGCTTGTCCAAAGTGCCTGCAAAGGCTGCAGCAGCTACTGAACTGTGGTCAAGCCAAGCCTGAACAAAAACTCGGCCCCAAGCAAAGGCGGTAGAAGAGGCGGCCATTTCGCCCCAGCTTCATGAACACCTTTCAAAGCGCAAGAAGCTAAGTACCTCTGCCGACGCCATCACCCGGAATTGCTTGTGAATCCGTGGAGCCTTGCCCCTAGTGAGCTCACGCGCGAAGGCATTTACAATGCTTTCCAGCTTTTCCTGCACAACCTGAGATTTGGATCATGACATGTCTGGGTGACCGAATGCACCTGCTTTGGGACCCTGTCCACACCTCCTTCTCCCTGGCTCCGAGCTTGTCCCAGTCTTGCAGCATGGGCAAAGGCCTGGCGGCTTGACGGAGCTCGGACAAGTCTGTGGTGATATGCTCGGGATTCCGACGTATGGACCCTGCTTTGGGATGTGTCCGGTACCTTGGTGCAAGATCCACAATAACGCAACAGCCACAAGAAGGCACTGCTTTGATTGGAACCCGGCTATTGGTGCCGGGCCATTGGCTTCAACCCTGCCGTGCGGTAGTGTGCCGAGCCGTCATGCCAGCAGATGTTGCAATCCGCCTCATCCGAGAGCTTTGAGCACAGGGACCGCCGCCATCACAGCAGAAAAGAGACATAGGACAACCTGGAAACAGGAGGCAAGCTGGACGTGATGATCATGCCTCAAGAAAGCCTTTCCCCATCCAAGCAGCCGTTGCCGAAGGCAGCTCTGTGATGTCACGCAAGCGAGATCATTTTCGCTTGAACCGCAGCCAAGAAGCCAAGCACGTGTTTCATGTTTTAGGCTGGACTCGAGATCCCGTGCCAGTATGTCTTGCCTTGACGTGTCTAAGGCCTAAGGGTGGCAGACCCACGGACGCTACTCAAGAGCTCAAACTAAGGCATGTTTTCCCGGAAATTCACCTTCCGGAAAGCCACACAAGCAAGGCCTGTGACAACTTCCGTCCTACAGCCACATTGGAATGGACCTTTGTCTCACGCTCCAGCGGTGCGTGGACTTCAGGAAGCAGTCACCCCATGCTTCGCTTCTTCCGCAGCTGCAGCATTGCTCCGAATCGGGGGTCCAAGGCATCCATCATTGCTGCGGCAGTCGCCAATTCTTTGCTCCCCACCGTTATCGTCTCAGCCGGGCTCCCCAATAATCGCCTGGCCTCGCAAATGCTGCGTCGTGCAGTGAGGAAGTGGTTCACGTTGTAGCCTATCCAGAAGACAAACAAGCCCCCGAAGGTGGCTGTATCCCACCACCACGGCATGCGTGAAGTTAAGACGCAGAGGAACATGGACATGGACATGACGGTGAAAGACACGGTGGTGTATCTTGTCAGCATCGTTGCATATGGGATGCATGGCAGGCTCGCGTTCATTGTGATCTGAAGCGCTGCAGTGGCAAGGATGAGTGTCACGAGGAAGCTCAGCCGGTCTGCTACCCCGTCATGCGGGTCTATCGCACTCACCAGCGGAAATGCGGTTGTCAGAACGCAAAGTTGTAAATAGTAGTTCATGAGATAATGGCCATAGTTCCGCAATGCACATGTTGTGACGGAGATTTTGCGATATGGCCACTTCCTGGCATACATCATCGCAACTGGCCGGTAGAAGGTGTAGTCTGGCATGGTCTGCTGTGCATTCACGTCCCCAACCAAGATCAAGTGAGAGTCCGGCACAGTCGCCAGAAAGCGCACCTCAAAGATGACGTTGAAATCCTGAATGTCGAAGGGGAAGGACTCCAAATCATTAGTGTCCTGGAATGTACCACGGAGTGTGACATCGCACTGTCCTCCAGGGCCTCCAAAAAGCCGTGCAGACGAATACTCTATAGTGCATGCTTGGTGCAAATCCCAATTCAGAGTAACGCCATAGATCTCTGCAAGCAAGTCAGGAATCCTATCTAGAGCAATGTCCTCATTGGCTTCAGGTGGAGGTGGGCCGGCTTCGTCATCAAACCTTCGGACGAAGCGAAGGCTCACAGATGCGTCGAATTTTCCTGTCACGATGTCCACTGCCTCCACGTACAAGTTTGCAACGTTAAGTAATATGATCTTGCTGCGGTAGTCCAGGGGAAGCTCACTTACCAATTCTTGCGCTTTCGAAAAGATAACTCCAGGGAAATTAATGGCCCGCTGGTACTCATCAGATGGTCTGCCCTCCTTCTTGGCAGAAACCACATGCTGGGCACGCTCGCGCAGTGAGGGTGAGATCAGCTGTGGCTCCAGTGGCTCTCGTACTTCCTCGCTGTCGTTCTCGCTCTCCGTGTCACAAAGCAAGGTGCAGGACTCCATGAGCTGACAAATCGGATGAACGAAACAGCTCCGACAGCTGCTGATGAACACGAGCCGCTGATGCAGATCAGGTCGAGTGCGAGAAAACAGTGGCAACACTATGCCATGCAGGCAGGGCTGGCAGGGCAGCATACTTATGTTTTGGACCCCAGACCCTCGATGGAGTCTCCAGTGTCAAACTGATCCCATCATACTCCATCCCAGACTCTTTTGATCCGAATTTGAAATGATGATATAAACGAAGCTTTTGGCCGCCAGATGTTACAGAGCCTTTTCAGATTTTCTCCACGAGCCCTCCAGCGTCCATCGTCAGCTACAGGATAGGTCGGCTTGACCATCGAGGAGGCGGCCGTCCACGGAGCACTCGTCAACCTGAGCATTTCTGTTATTGCATTGGGGCTCCTGCATCTTACGGAGTGGGAGCCACCATGTCCGAGATCTTCATGGACACGAAGAGCATGCCGTCCGCAATTTTGTCAGCAACATCCTGGCATCAACGACTGCGCTGCCGGGAGCTCAACAGGTCTTCACCCCCCGGGGTAGTTCTCCGTCCCTCTCATGAACCTGCGAAGCAGACTTCAACCAGAAGCTTTCGCAGGTGCGCAGCATAAGTACTGAATACTTAGCCGAGTTCACGCAAGATACTCCTGCTAAAAGTCCTCAAAACCCAATCGAAGGGGAAACCGTCTGTGAAAGCGAATCGGTCTGTTCAGGTGCCCAAAAAGAAACTTCCTCCAATTGAAGCATCGTCCTTCCCGTCAAGGATGGTAAAGTTCACATACTCTCGCGGTTTACCGGAAGCTGCCTGGCTACGCAAAGATCTGAGGTTTAAAAGCTGGTTTGGTATTTCACAAAACAGCTGGGTCAGTCGGATCCGTGCCTCTTGGCATGGGTTCTTGCCCGGCTTCAGGTTTTCTGTGATATTCGACCCGCCGACCTCGTATGCTCAGTCGTACAATGCATAGTCCCGATTCACGACTGGCTCGAATCCGAAAGCACCTTGATCCACTCCACACGCTCCGTGGTCCCGTCTTGTTCGTCAAAGTCAGTCTCGTTAATCCTGATGCGGAGTTGGTCTAGAGCACAACGCTAGTTTTGTGAGCACATTGGCCTGACAGTCAGCTTGCACTTTCGAGACGTCAGGTTGAAGTCATCAACCACAAGGACTGTGGTCGCGGTGCACCCAGGCTCCTGAGGCTGCACGAAGCGTGTGGATCACTTGTCCAAACTGACGAAGGTACCCCACCTCGCAGCTGAAGTGCTGGGAGTCACTCGTCTTGAAAATTTGCGTAACTGTTGTCGTCACAGTTACCTTGGCAAAGGGAAGCTCCTGATAGGACCCGAGCGGCTGCAAAATGCTGTGCTGGGAGTCCACTGTGGTCGTCGTCGTTGTCGGGGGCAACGTCACGATTGGCCGCGCGAAGCAAGCAACGGCCACCATCCCACTGGCAGCAGTGTGCAAAAAACAAGAGTGCAATGCAGGGCTTGTCAAGGAATGTCCGAAGTGCCTCAGATGGTTTCCATTCACAGGGCACTCATCCACTGCTGGCGAGATCTTGCCTGAGCTGGGATTCGGATGATGGGTGTTCGATTGCGGGCAGCAAGAGGTTTTCGCCTGAGATTTTCAGCTCGCCGTTCTCATCGATCAGGCCCTTGATTGCGATCGTCGCAACAAAGACCGACCCAAACTGAGCACTTCGTCATGCACGGGTGCCTCCAACGGCAGGTCGCGAATGATCCTGAGCGCTTTGAAGACTCTGAACGGAAAGTTGGTGGCTGGACTGGCTCTGGCCGTTCATCCAAGGCACGGATACAGGAGCAACTCATGGCTTGCACTGGACTTGCCTAGTCAGCGTCCACAGGCGAGTTAGTCTACATCGTTGTTGCTAGCACACCTCGAGCCCCAGACCAGCATGGAACTGCTGTGACTGCGACTGCGACTTCGACTTCGGCAAATCATGGCTTGTATTGGACTTGCCTAGTCAGAGTCCACAGGCGGGCTAGTCTGCGTCTTTGCTGCTAGCACACCTTAAGCTCCAGGCCAGCGTCAGTCTGCTGTGACTGAGACTTCGGCAGCTCATGGCTTGTGTTGGTCTCACCTAGTCACAGTCCGACCGCGGCTCTACGTCCTTGCTGCTAGTACATCTTGAGCTCCACGCCAGCGTCAGCCTGCTGTGACGTGGCTTTGTTGGGTGTCTGTTTCGTTTTCACATCCTGAAAGCATCCAGTTGCAGAAAAGTGCTCATTCAGGCTGACCGTCGCAGGCACGAGAAACTGGGCTGCCCACGGGCTTGGAAGCCACAGCCAGCAAGGAAGATTTGGAGAGATTGGACAACTTCTGCTCGGTCACATCAGATCCATGCAGATCCGCCATATTGTCGTTTGTCTCACACCCTGGCATCTGAAGACTCGGGGTCATATTGGCATGGAGTGTCGAACTGTTTTCGTTTGTTGTGTGGCAACATCGCCGGGAAGACCCTTCGGTGCTTGCGGAGCGAAGTCACGAACGGCCTAAAAGCCAGGCTGCTGACCGCCAGACGCAGTGCAGAGGATTGCAAAGCATGTGCCTCCTTGTTGTTGATCAGAATCCATTCGATCTTCTCCCGCCCATACCTTGACGTTGCTATTACTAGAATACTAGACTAGACTCGACTCCAACAGAACATGGACAAAACTTCGGGCTCGGACTGGTCATCGAAGTCCGTTGCGTGCACCATGACGGAAAGCTGGCACCTCTGGCACCATGGAGGCAGTGCTGTGGGCTGCTGGTGCAGTCCAGGCAGGCGCATCTTGTACTCCATCTCCGAGGCATTCTCGAAGACCTCTACACCGCAAGGCCAGGTCACGACACGCCACGACACGCCACGACACCTCGCCGCCAGGCCTTTAGAGATGTTTCTGCCACACAGCCAGGCGGCCCACAGCTCAAGTCTGCAGTCCTGCACCGTACCAGACTACCGGAAGCTCGGTAGGGCCTACAGGGACAGGAACGAAATGTCGGGGGCTTTGGCTTTGGCTTTGCCCTGTCCGCGTCCTGCTCACCCTGCTCCACTCAACGTAGAACTTGGGTGACTCGGGGGTCGGCGCCCTGGGTCGCCCGAACCAGTCGTACTGATCCACCAATGTATCGAACCACGCGGCCTCCTGACAATCCCAGCCCCCCCCGGGAACAGTCCCAGACTATCCCGGCAGACCACAGGCTCCTTCCCGTCTTCGCGGTCCTCTCAGCCCACTTTATTACTACAAGGATCAGAGGTCTGCTGAAAGCTGAGATGCCGACGGCATTGCCTTTCCTGCAGCACTGGCACGTGGAAGGACCGGCTCCAAAGGCTTTCCGA